TACTATCTTGTATTTGTATCGAGTCTGGATTGAGGCACCTCACCACCGAACACCGAAGAACAAGGGAGAGCAGCATCGCCTCCCCGCGACCGCTAAAAACGACAGCTGAGGGAAATTTATAAGAGCCGAGGATCCTGTCCCAGAGAGCCCTGCATCGTGAATCCGGACAGGGGAGAGCAGCATGGCCTCCCCCCGACAACCGGGAACGACAGCCGCTGCGACAGCCATCCTCCAGGAGAGGATACGTCCGGGAAGGACCTCACCCGGGCCATACAAGGGCCCGCGACAGCGTTTAGATTTGGCGCTATTTCGCGCGGGGCGCGATAATGCCTCGCATGGGGCGCGAGGCGCTAGGACCTCGCGCGTGTCGGCCGCTAATTGGCCGGGGGTCCGCGCATCCCCCTGCGCGGCCAACGACCCCGCTATCGACCCTGGATCGCGAGATCCAGGGATCACTTTGCCGCGGCCGCTCGACGGAAGCAGTCAAAATATATATCGTGTATTGTCGCGTGAGTGGGCTCGGGAACGAGACGGACCGGGAAGGACGAGACCGAGGATCATCCCCGCAGCCGGGAGAAGCCTTCATCGGTGAGGTTGCCCACGTAATTTTGTACTCCGCGAGCGTGATTGTGTCCGCTCGCCGGCCATTCTGTCGCCGTCGTCATTACGGCGTTTATCGCGACCGCTCGAGCCTTCTGCTGAGTCGGTCGATTTTGTGCATTTCGGGCGACAGGAGACAAGCGGCTGGGGAAGCGCGGACACTGGCGACGGAAGTGCGTATCATAGGGTAATTCTCGTCTCTCTCCGGGTATCAGGGTGCGTAAGACGCGTAGCGTTCGATCGTTGGGTATCGACCGCGTGCGTCGTAAATCGCGAGCGATGCGTAGTTCGCACGGGCTGTCGTTTGGTTGTCGAAGCCGCGTCTCGCACCTCTGAAATATGTCTCAGAGCGAGTCTGTGGAACGTAATTGGTCGTGATTAATGAGTCTTCGTGTAGTATCATCGTCGTTCGTGAATATTGCGTGAAACTGCGTATTATTGTCGCGTCCATTGTGTGCGTGCGAGTTGTTCGTCTCGAAAAAAAGAAACTTAATTCCTCGAAATTGTCGCGGTGTGCGGGTATCGCACGATTCTAAGTATCGATATCTGAGATCAGGAAATTCCTGGCAAATATTGCGGCTATCGAAGGAGGCACGGTGCGGGAAGGTCGCCCGGCCTTCCTTATTACCTTGAGACCGAGAAGATAATTAATTCTCACGCTGTTGAAGGTATCGGGGGTGTGACACGACATTGTCGCATCGCCCAGATTGCCAGAAAAATTTAAGTTGCGAGCGTCGCAGAAAAAGGCGGAAAAATCTTCGACCGCCGCCGGCTATCGAACTTCGCCGGTATCGTCCGCCAATCGTATGCGAGATCTCTCCTCGCGAAACTAATATCTTTTCGCTTATTGCGTCACTAATCGGCTGTCTTATTTCTGGGTTGTCGACTTCGAGTACGCTCGGAGGAAATTGCGAGATACGCAATTAATTAGTAAGATCTCCGCGAGGCTGTCGAAGCTGCGAATGATAGACCGGTACTATCGCTCTCTCTCTCTATCGCGTATGGTACGACCGTTAGCAAGAATTCGAATTACCAAAATTCCGTTATAGAAATTATTGTTCTCAGGAGCTTCGACTTTAGGAAGCCTCCGTAATAGACGCTCTTTGTTAGATCGACTTAGAATATCGCGCGTTTTTCTAGCGTTTCGAGATTTATTGTCAGTTCGTGGCTAGTACATTATTTCTGTTTCCATTCTGTATCGAATGTTATTTCTTTTCTGTTAATACTTTCTTACTCTCTTAATAAATCTGTTATTTTTTTTATTAAAGCTCGCGTTCTTTATTTGGCTGGCGATCATCTGTGATTTCTGTGTCCGTCTTTGTCTGTCAATTTAGTAAGCTCGCTCAATCAATTAACTTTTTCTTTCAAACCCCGTCCCTCTACCGTTAGGCGAGCTAGCCAGCCCGTGGCGAAGCGGGCTGTCGTATTCTTTCGCGCTTTTCGAAAAATTCGTGAAAACTGGTACGTGAGAGACCGTGCCTGGCGCCCATTTCCGAGGTATCGAGACGGCCTTCGCTCCGCCGCGGCTCGCGCGCGGACACCCTCCATCCCTGTCCCGCCGATCGCGAGTACACCAAAACCCTTGTGTTTTTGACGGCGCTTCCGCTCCCCCGCGAGAATAAAAATTAGAATTGAAAAAGCGTCGCAGTACATTATACACATGTTCTGATATTTTTTATCTCTAATGATCGCAGCAGAGAATAAAATTAATAGAATACGAAAATGTAGCTCTATCCGATATGAAGCTCGTTATCAGGCTAAGGTTGACCGGAAACGTCTTCATGTTCGTTCCGCCGACCAGGTACTCGTCTTCACCCGAGGACTTTTTTATAAAGCCGAAGTAGATGCTGACGATGCCACAGGCAACTAGCATTATCGCGAACATGGTATAATTCAATGTACCAAAATTCTGCATCGACTCGCTGATTTCTTATACGGTGGGCATTTCCGGCAACCAGTTAGCCAAGCCTAGATCATCCGACGTACCGTCCGAAGTCTTTTTGTTGCAAAACGGAATCTCGTCGATCTTATAGAGTACCGCAGTGGAAAAATGTATATTGTTGTCGAGAATAAAATCTTCCGATCGTTCTAATCTAAATTCATCGCTTTTTATTATCGTCACGAAAATAGCAGTGGACGGTCACGCAATGATTTATCATGAAGAATAGGGGTAAACAGTATAGTGATTGGCCACTTAAGCAAGATCGCAAAACAAAAATTGAATTATTAACCTGAATTTAATAATTTAGAAAAAAAAATTACTACTAATAGTTGTAAAAAATAATAATGATTCATAATAAAATAAAAACCATCATAAAAATTTAGGAATTAATAAAAATTATGTAAAAAACACTTATCCTATCAAAAAAGTTAGTCATTGGCCATATTAACACAGTTATTGTCTAACAGTTTGACAGTGATTATCCTCTATCCATGCAAGAATGAGTACATAATTAAACAGTGACAAAGAAATTATTTGGCATCAAAAAACTAAAATTATTAAATCAATATATATTTTATTACATATATTTAACATAAGAGATAAACATTATTATTAATTGTATATTAATTATAATATAAACAAGAGAAACAAATTTTGTTTAACAAGTATTATTTTTAATTAGACGAACTTTTTTTGGAAATATTTCATTTTTCAAAATTTTTGGTTTTAAAATTGCTTTCTTTCTTTTTCCTTGTTCTTTTTGGTTTTCCATCAGTATTTTCTTTATTGTCAATTTTTTCTTTTTTAACTTTTTGTGACATCATTTTTTTTCCTGTTGTTTTTGTAATCTTGCTAATTTTTTTTGTTCTTTTAATTTTTCAGCAAGTTTTTTCTTTTCTAATATTGTTACAGCTGAAAAATATATCTTTTTAGTAATAACAAATATAACTTACTGTCTTATCTGTCACTCGATGTAAGAGGTCAATAACTATAACATAGTTTCCATAACCACAAAACAATAATTGGCCGAATGGCCAATTACTGTTGTAAAACGTATGTTAGTCGTTGGCATAACATAATTTTTAAAATATATATGTTATTTTCACCGATATGAATTTTTTTTACAAAATTTAAACTTTATTAATGCATGTCTATCACGAAAACAAAAATTATATGTCATAAAAACATTAAACAATTTGCAAATTGTTGGTTCCACTCTTAGGGTTTTTTAATTGAATGGCGACAATTTTCAAGTATGTTACCAAAGTCATTTTAATCCTTATTTATATAAATTATAATATATAGAAAATAATTAAATATTAATTGTATTTGAAGCAGAAAAATGTATTAAATATTTTTTTGTAATTAAAAACATTTTAATAGTATTTCCTTTTAATCTTTAATTTTTTAAAATGTGGCCAATCATTGTAGAGTGGCTAATAACTGTACTGTTTACCCCTACGGGTTAGCGAAAAAATCTGCGGGTTGCGCTATTGCAATTTAATAATCTATACAATAGAATTCCTCGATGTTAATTGGTATTAAAATTTTGTTAATATTTAAAAGTGTTTAAATTATTATTTATTTGCTACCCAGGTAACACATATTCGTTTCAAAAACGTCACAAATGTTTCTTCGAAGCGTTTCATAACTGACTCTTGAAAATGTTTCTACATGATTAAAATGTCCACTTGAAAAACGTTAAGAAATACGTTTCTTTTCTGATAAAAAAACGTTTAAAAACCATTTAAAAAACGTTTAAAATATGTGTTCTTTTTTACGTTAACCGTTTGTTGTACGTTCGTTATACGTTTAAAATACATTTTTTACGTTTGTTTTCTAGTTGAATTAATAAAACAATGCATTCATACACACTCTAAAAATGAATCAATATATCATCAGTGAAAACAGTAAATAGAGTCACTGATACAACAGTTATAAGTAATTATAGCACTGTAAATCAATAATATTTCACTAAAAGAATTAATAATATTGACTGTTTTAATCAGTATATATTATCAGTACTTATCTCTTCTGTTATTTATCATAAAAATGTAAGAATAACATTTTCTTTTAATTAAATTCAACATTATAAATATATTAATTTAACATAAACTTTATTTCCAAATAAAGTTTAAGTGTTACACTTTTTGTATTAATTTTTAAACATATTACTTGTGTTATTTATTTACATACTTGCCTTCTGTTAAATTAACTTTAAAATTAGAGTGGATAAATTGAGACATGTGAAATATGTTAATTTTAACACAAAATTTTTTATTGTGTAGACTTGTTTTTAATAATTCAAAATTCAAATTCTTTACTTTCAAATTCTATTTATTTTTGAAAAATACAGCATCAATTATCATATTTATATTTTCCAGTATTTCTTTGAATCATTGTACAATTTAAAATAAAAAATTAATGAAATCTATTATTAATTAGTAAAACTATACACTCTCGTTGTATCCTTATTTATTACAGCGTTTAAGTAAAAACAATATGCACAACGACCTATAACAATTTTTACAATATACATGTTACAACACTATCAAGAATATATAGTATCACATGTATAAACTTCATATACAAAGCTTCTGTTAGTATAATTCTACACTTTAGTACACAAAACGATATGCCACATTAGTGTCGAATTACACACTATCTTTTTAATACATTCAGGAATTCGGAAATTCAATAATACAATTAATGTAACTTAATTATATTACACATCATGTCAAAGTCGCTTCTAAAAATTTATCATCTTCGTTGATAGCGCGAGATGCCATCTTCTCATCCTTTTCAGATTTTGTAATCTATAATAGAAACAATAAATCAAATGTATTAAAAAATTATTTTTTTATTTTTTATTAATATTAATATATTTAAAAAAATATTTTATTAATAGAAAAACATTTTAATATATTTATATATTAAAACACACAATGCATATTCCCAATAGTAAATAAACTACCAATATATTCCTAGTAATATATTGATAATTCAGCAGAATTTTTGAACAGAAAGTAGACTGACATGAAACCATGGTTATTTTTAATAGGAAAAGATTCAATTAAAAATGATAAAATGAATTAATTTAAAAAAATAATAAAATACCTTGATCTGAAGTTCTTCAGACAGAACATCTTTGCTCGAAGTCTTCAAGTATTTTCTCATAAACGGCGCCAGGAGCATTGGATCTAACTTTTCAACATTTTGGGAAGTAATGAGAGTTACGATAAGCCCGACTGTTATAGTCGTCAAGGCACCGGTCATGGTATACCAAAGATAACTGAGACGGTATAATGCCCATGGTTCCCTATTATATGTTTTATTATAAAACGTTTATATTTTATTCTAAATCGCACGATTCTATCTTAATTCCTTATCTTAATAAGCTGCACAAAATTATTAGTTATCCATCTACACCAAATTGATATACAGTGTACTTCATTTAATTCTCACACCAAAAATAACTCTATTACTTCTATAAAAAGTATCCAGTAATAACTGTATCACTTTCATGTGCAGATATAAAGCAAATTAAACTGAATAGAGAAGTCCTGTGCTGTTTTGCTATTTTCATAATAATTAATAAAAGAAATTAATTAATAAAGATCAATCAATTCATATGAATATTTGCATGCGGCGAAAAGAGACGGTCCATTGTCATGTGGTTGTTATTAGGTGCATAACGAAGTATTGAGAGAGGCATTTCTCAAATAACAACAATTACGTATATAAATTATATGCATCATGTTTGTTCCTCTCGATTTAGCAACCACGTAACATCGAACTGTCTCTTTTTGTTTCATTGTATTCATTCGTATGAATTAATCGATTTTTTAAAATTAATTTCATATTAATTTTTTTTGTTGCAAAAATCGTAAAATGGTAGAGGACTTTTGTACTGATTATTAATTTAAAATGCTCTACACAAGAGAGTTGATACAGTTATTACCGGCCTTTAAATATGTGAAAAAAATGATAAAAAAAGAAGTTATGAATCTAAAGAAAAGATACAATCAACTTGAAAGCACAATATTTCAAAGTTATCGATATTTTTTGAAACTATATAGTTTTAGACACATGATATTTTACTTGATTTCAAAAGGGATTCAATCATGTATGTATAATAACAAGACCTTCAAATAATCTCATGCTCCAAATTTACACTATAATAACATGGGATGAACAATATATCTTAATTATATAGGTTTGAGAGAATTAGTTACAAAAAGTAGAGCATATAAATCTGATAGATTTTTTGACGCTAAAAATGAATCTGACCACAAAATTTTTCCAGCACATCAGGTTTTTGAATAATTTGTAGTTAAATGATTCAAAAATTGCTATTTGGACCAATTTCATAATTTTATTATAGGCCAGCTTAATTTTTTAAAATAATTTATCAATGGCTATATATAATATAGTACTTTATCTTATATAATAGTACTTAGTCTTTATCTTTCAATTCTATTTTCAGACAATTTTTTTTATTGAGATATAGATGCTATAAGTTAATATGGAGTTATAATATATAAAGTTATATATGAAAATTTATGTTGAGGGAAAGAAATTTGCATAATTATCAATATGGCAAATCCGCCATTTTGAAATTTCACTTCTGTCAGGTTCGATTCTCGAAAAAAGTCCTATAAAAATATATCTAATACAGTTGTTACACTTTTTGATGAATTTTTCTAAATTTTACACTTTTTTATTGTGGTTCTGCATACATTGGATGCGCAATTTTTACCCATACAGCACAGAAGCTTGCATCAACATTGCTGGAAAGTTACAATATTGCTCACTGCAGTGTAATGTTACAGAAATAATGCATGCAGAGACATTATTTTGTAATATTACTTTGGCAATGTTGCAGCAATTTTTAACATAGCGAAAATGTATAACATGTGTTTGTTTACTTGCCGCTACGCGGCAACACCCAATTTAACTAACTACTACCCAACTTAACTAACTTTCGTATTCGAATTCATCTAAGATGGATATAAGGTCTACAAAGGATTAATGTAGTAATTATATTTCTTTTCTTGTGTCAGTTTGATTTCCGGCGATGAACTGACTTGATTTATTTAATATTCTGAATTCTAATGAGGGATCAAGATTATTAAACAAATAATTTGTTTAATAATCTGGATCCTTCATTGGGTTTCAGGATATTAAAGAGATTTTTCTTAATTGAATAGGTAAATAGGAAATAATTCATTTATTGCACGTATTAAAATATTCTTGTGTCGAATGTATGTAAAATAATTCTATGTAATATTATTGAGATAAATATTTAAGAAACATCTAATAAAAACACTAATAGATGTTTTTTTAAAGGCATTTTTTCCTATCTTTCTTAAACATTTTTTTTATATTTTCAAAGTTTATTTATTAAATTTAAAACAATATCCGCATTTGTAGCAAAACGAGTTTTAATATTATAAATACGTTGCACCGTCATATTACTGCAATGTTGCATTGCAATATTTCTACAAGCGGACATTTTACAAGCCTGCAATATTGCGTTGCTGCAATATTGCGTTGCACCAACATCTGCAATCTTTTCGCAATGTTGCAATCTTGCAAAGAAATATTTCTGCAATGTTGCTGCAATATTTCTGTGCCGTATGAGTAATTTCGAAAAGTGACATACGGTGTACAAAAATTTATGCTCTACCCAAATTTTGATTCGTGATGAGACAGAAGGATAGCACGGTTGACTTGGAATGGTTTATTACACTCCTATATTCTTATAACTTGTATCTGAAAAAAAATCGTCCGGCATCAATCGATAATAGATTTGAAAGATAAAAATCTAGATAGCCAAGCTTGATATAACATAATCAATCAACAAATGCATTGCATGTATTATTATATATTTGCAGTATACTTGCTGACATCGGAATATAATGCGTTACGAATGCAGTTATATGTATTTCTACATGCAATTAACGAAGCAAATGGAATCTGCAATATTGGTATATTACATTGTCTATAGTCTATAACATGCAACAATATGCTGATACGTTACAATCAATTTGCTGTTATTAGCACATGAATTCATGTGAGTTCAATGTAAGAGACATAATGTTGTCTTACCTTGTCTCTAGTTTGTTAAAATTAGTTGCTACAACAATTATTGGCAACATGACAACAATCTCATTGCATTTGGCTATCTGGGGACTAGTACTATACAATGTCATTGGCAAAAATATATCAAAAAATTAAGTTCCCCATAATAAATTCATAAAATTGGTCGAAATAGCCATTATTGACTATTTAACCACAATTACTCAAAAACCTGACTTGCTAGAGAAATATTGTGATATTCCAAATCCATCTTCTGCGTCAAAAAATCTATCATATACCTACTCTGTTTTTTGTAATAATTAAAAAGTAACGTTTTTATATAAATCTAAAATTTCGCTTGTTATTATACATACACATGGATTCATTTGGAAATTAGTTAAAACATCACTACCTAAAATCATGATCTCATTTTAAAAAAATATCGGTCTTAAAATAACATTTAAAATGACTAATACGATTTTTTAATTTCATTATCGTGTTTGCCTTTTTAATTCATAGAACTTCTTCCTTCACCATTTTTTCGTATATGTAAAAGTAACGGAGTTATTTGAGGTGTAAGAAATCAATAAAACATCCTGTATAATTAAATTTAACGACATTCTCTAAAACTTACTCTCCATTCGCGTCATCCAGAATCGAATCCGGCGGTACAGAGAGTAGTAAATTTTCCACTTGTGGAAACGAGTAGGTGCACCCCTCCGTAGTGACGGGTTTTACATCGAATCTGAAAGAAAAAATATGTGATTGTGTTTTTTGAAAGGAAACAACATGATATATAACATGGTATATATAAAAGTATTTTTTCGGAACATTTTTATGACAATTTTAATACTAACTTAATTTGTCCACTGGCGATGGCCGCTTCAGCGGAAAGGCCGAGCCAACCCATAAAGCTCAGACCTGCGAGTCCTCCGATCAGGGCACCCTAGCAAATTAAAAACGCGCAAGGACTTTTATTCTTATGGATACAGATTCGGATAATATAATTTCTATTAAGTTAAAGTATTATAAAATTATCGTTAAAACACATGCCTTGCCATTAACCCACGGTAACAATATTCCCATGATAAAAATGCCGAGAGACGGTCCGTTAGTGATAGCGCCCAGGCTCATGGATAACTATAAAAGAGTACAGGAGACAAAAAATTCGGATTACATTATTTAACAGATTACTTCCGATTTATTTACCTGGAGCACATGAAGACCCGCTTGCTCGACAACAAAAACGAGAGCGACACAGATCGTGCCGAAAACAACGACTGTAAGCTTCATGAAGCGATCGGCGGTTTTGCGTGTAAACGGCGTTTTAATGAAGGGTTTGACGAAATCCTCCAGTACTACTGCCGACATGGAGTTTAAACCGGTTGACAACGAGCTAAATAGAAATCCAAAATAATAATAATAATATATATATATATATATATATATATATATATATATATATATACACAAGGTAGGCCATTTTAATCTAGACACTAAAATATCTCAAAATCCATAAGTTTAAGACAAAAATGTTTCAGACTAAAGTTGTATGGCTTGAAGAAAGACATAAGCTGGTGCCATTAGTTTGACCTTGAAGAATCAACTGAAGGTCACGTGAAGGTCACCTCCAACTTTTTAAATGAGACATACTTTTACATATTCTTGTAGCTTATCACGAGAGCTTTCCAAAACACTATAATAAAGTATTCTTTCATTGAGTACTTTTCGAGTTATGAGGCTTGAAATTTTTCAATTTTACATAAACCATAAAATATCTAATAAAATATTCATTTTTTTATTATCTTACCTTAATACTTTTATGTACAAAATAATGAGAAGAATTAACCGGTGTAAAGAAAACACGCAGTTGTTTTTAAGAAAAAAATATGTAATTGTTAATTGCAAATTGCATATTTTTCTTCGAAACAATTATGTGTTTCTTTACACCAATTGATTTCTCTCATTATTTTGTACATAAAAGTATTAAGGAAAGATAAAAAAATGAATATTTTACCAGATATTTTATGGTTTATGTAAAATTAAGATATTACATATAGTTCAATATGTATTCAAAAATATACACGTCTTTTTTTTATCTTTTTTTAATGTCTTTAACATCTTCTTTCAATATCTTTTAATATATTTATAAACATCTTCTTTAATATCTTCTTCTAATATCTTTTATTATAATTATAATATAAATATCATTTTATTTTGATTAATTATAAATGTGAATACCTGAGTGCAGCGCTGAACACGCCGGCCACAAAAACACCGGGCAATCCTGGAAATTCTCCTAAAACATTCATGACCAACAGTGGCAGCAGTTGATCCTTGGCACGTGCCAGCTGTATCATGCATTATATACGTTAATCGATGTTCAGTGTTCGGGGTTAAATAAACGTTACCTTAGTCGTGAGTGGATCGCATTCATGATACCAAGCGTAAATCAGTAGACCGGAGTATCCGCACATGCCAATTAGTGTTAAAACTCCGAATATAAAACACCAGAGTGCTCTAAAACACATAATTGTCAAAAACGAAGCTGTATGTATACACATATAAAAGAGCGTAGAAATTAATTTATATAACTTATTACATGTCCAATATATTACATGTACAATATATATTTGTAATTATCAATTGTATATAAGACACATGAAATAAATTTATTTATTTAATTTAAAAACACAAAAATTTTTACATAATAGTTATAATAAATAATAATTATTATAATTAATAAATTTAAATTGATATATAATTATGTATACTAAAGGTAAACATAATGTTATTCTTGTAAAAAATGTTCTTTATATTTTAATTTATAAAAAAGTAAAATATTACCTTCTAGCTGATTGTACAGTAGGAAGGGACAAGTACCGTTGAATCATATTTTGATTGATACCAGCGATTTGTAACCAGTGTACGAAACCGCCTATCGTGAGCGCCCAAATTGTATGTCTTGTCAAAGGGCTCCAATCTGTCCTGTTAAGTGAGATAATTGTATTACTCCAAAAATTTATAAATCGATAAATAAATACAGATAAATTAAATTAGATTTAATTATTAATGAAAACTGATTTACATAAAACATAAACGAAAAATATACAAAAAACAAAAAATATACAAAATAAAGAGCATAATAAATAAAATAAAAAGTTGTATAAAATAAAATAAAATGGATATGTATGAGTAATCTTAAAAATATCGACTTTTAAAAAGCGTTTCCAAATTTTTAGTTTAGAGTGTGTTTTTTCAACTGACATACAATATTTTTAATCATTCGGGTATTTTATGAAATAAAAAAATACATCTGTTTCTTTAAACAATATTTAAAAACTGTAATTTTTATCATTTATAAATCTCCAATCTTTTTTTTTCATATAAAGCTAGGCTTATTCGAATGTCAAGATAACGGAATGAGGACTTCTGTATTAACATTGAATGTACACACGTAGGTAATTCGATTCTTCCGGATTCTAGATTTCTCCGAATCACTAAAGATACTCCACCAACGTCGACTGTGCCCTTAATTACAATTAACAACATGGAGCCAAACATGACGAAAGTCTGAATAAAATCCGTCCACACTACTGCCTTGAGACCGCCCTGAATGCAATAAAGAAATTATTTCAGTAAAGGATTAAATTATTTTCCTAGTGCTATTAATAGAATTCATTAGTTGGATCAATCTAATCTGACTATGAAATGTAATTCCGTAAGATATATATACATATATACATATAAGACATTTTAAACCAGACATCCTTTCAGCAGATTTTTTTGATCGATTTTAAAGAGGATTTTTTTCTTGACGAAAATATGGAGGGAATAATTTCGGAATTATAAAAGCGATTGAAGAAAAGACATTTTTTATAAACTATACTTCAAAAATATTCTTCAGTTAATTTTAGATAAAATTTATTTTAATATAATAGAATTAATTTAATGTTAAAAAAAATATATAATTAGAAGCTTGCAAAACATGATAAACATTCTGACTAATTGATCAAAGAATTCGCTTTAAAAAGATCTGCGTTAAAAAAGATTTGGTCTAATTTTAAAATACTCTAAATATATTTTTTTATAATAAAAATAAATATATGTACAAGACAAACACAATTGTATATTATGTTTTAAATTGAATATTCGCGTCCGTATCTGAGTTTGTCTTGCATTTATATTCCTCTCTTAAATCTCGATCAACTTACCACACAGGTGTAGAATATGCAAACAATGCACACAAAAGGCGTGATTATGTGTACATTCACTCCCGTAACTGAAAATAAAGATGTCGAAAATGATTTTTCACGCATAGTTTCTTATATTTTGCAAGTCAATTTAATTAATTTTTAATTCAATTAATTTTCTTATTAAACTTTTTTGCGGAAGATGCACCTTGATTGAAGGCTAATGCGGGTACGTAGATGACAATCGGGAGCCAAGTCATCTAAAAATATATCGTATATATATTTATATCATTCAAGATAGTAAATATGCGAAAAAAGAAATTTATACAATTCTTTCTTTGAGGGTTTACTTACGATACCGATGGCGAAGAGGAGTGAACCTAGCAATCTCATTCTTTTGTCGAAACGCTTCTCGAGATATTCGTATGTGCTAGTGAGCTTGAGATCATGGAAGACTGGCAGGAATACGTTGGACATGACGAAACCGACGACGATGACCGCGCAAGTGATGAAAAGGAAACTCGTACCATGCACATATACCTCCGTCGGAGTACCCAGCAATGAGATACCTGTATTGTTCGATCAATTTTAGAAAAACTTAGCTCATAATATATTCCCAACATTGAATAATTATTATAACTCAAGTTACATTCAAATCGAATTTATCCCTGAAATTATATATACGTACAATAATATATTTGTTAAATTAAATTAAATTAAGAATAGAATAAAAAATGTATGGAAAAAATTTCAGTCTATGCTTATTAAGCATAATTTATTATAAAGTTTTAGTCTTGGAATTTTTCGACAAATTGATATTTTATATAGCACATATTGATTATTATTATTATTACCCCCTCACAATTTTTATTATTATTACATTACACAAGCTCTATAATTAATTTTATCTCTTTTTTTTTTACGTTTCCAAAAATATATACATTATTCGTGTCATACAGTGCTTAACTGTGCAATTATGTATAAATATTCCTATCGTATAAATATTCCTTACGTATAAATATTCCTATCGTACATTTAAAGAATTTGCACAAGTGACAAGATATTTACAACTTGCCTGCTTATCTAATCTAATTTATTATCATCTAGAATAAAACTGTCACGTGTCATGGAAAAAAATCATGATTAGATGGAAATTTTCCATCATGCATAAGCATATGCAACATGGCAAATAAATGTATATAAAGATGTTGCATTAGAAACTGGGCTTCTCACATAATTAAAAACCTATAAAAAAAAGACTATAAAACATTAGTCTATTTTTCATCATGCTTGACAAATATAGATACAGTATCGGCCAAAAATATACCTTTACGTTTTTTGAGGGTAACTTATTAATTCAAAGTGTATTATATATATTTAATCAATTTTTCTTGCGTTGCTGTTTTCATTATTGAATGAAAAGTTTATTGTTCAGTAATTTACATACTTGGTATTAAACATATTTAACTAAATAGAAATATATGCCCTTTAAATTAAGTTATTTTCAAAAAGCATAAAGATGATACATTTTTGACCGGTACTGTAAATTCGAAATAAAAATAAATAAATCGAAGAATTAATAAATAAATAAGTTGAAGAAATCAAACTGACAATATACAAATTTTTTTTCGAATTGTTCTTATTTTATCAAAATATAAATGTACATTATACACATGTTTTGATATTTTTTATCTCTAATGATCGCAGCAGAGAATAAAATTAATAGAATACGAAAATATAGCTCTACCCGATATGAAGCTCGCTATCAGGCTGAGGCTGACCGGAAACATCTTCATGTTCCTTCCGCCGACCAGGTACTCGTCTTCACCCGAGGACTTTTTTATAAAGCCGAAGTAGATGCCGACGATGCCACAGGCAAATAACATTATCGCGAACATGGTATAATCCAATGTACCAAAATTCTGCATCGACTCGCTGATTTCTTGTACAGTGGGCATTTCCGGCACCCAATTAGGCAAGCCTAGATCATCCGACGTACCCTCCGAAGTCATTTTGTTGCAAAACGGAATCTCGTCGATCTTATAGAGTACCGCAGTGGAAAAATGTATATTGTTGTCGAGAATAAAATCTTCCGATCGTTCTAATCTAAATTCAACGCTTTTTATTATCGTCACGAAAATAGCAGTGGACGGTCACGCAATGATTTATCATGAAGAATATGGGGTAGCGAAAAAATCTGCGGGATGCGCTACCACAATTTGATAATTCATACTCTCTAGAAATGAATCAGTGAAAATATCATTAATTTAAACAGTAAAATACGATTTTACTGAAAATTAGTGAATATTTTATTGATTTTCAATCAAACGCTTATTTTTTTGTTATTTTATCTTATATCTCATTGATTATGATCAGTTAATATAAAATTCACTGTAAAATCAGTAAATTTTACTAAAACCAGTAATTGCTAGTTCATTCATTTACCGTTACAATCGCTATCTTTCTCGTATTTAATTTTAATTATAAGAATTATATAAAGTTTGCAAAGAGACATTTAAAATTAGAAGTATTACTCCGATTTAATTTCTGATACAAGCTCAATAGAGAGGCTTCAGATATTAAATCGATATTTATAAGTCGGACAAATAAATGTCTGGCGACTTAATGAAAATTATTCGTTCGTTATCTATTTAAATACCATTATCTATCGTATTAAAATACCGTTATCTATTTAAATAACAAGTTCAATATGCATCTAATATAAATAAAATAAAATTTTTAATATAATAAATATTTAGTAAATATAAATAAAATTTTTAATTTTATATGAAATAGATAGAGAAATGAATTATAGTTTAATATTACTGACAATAACGAAAGAAATATTACTGATATTGAGAAATATTACCGATTGAAACAGTCAAAATTATTAACTGATTCTTTCAATAAGATATCACACTGATTTACAGTGCTGTACTTATAACTGCTGTAATCAGTGACTATTTACTATTTTTCAGTGATAATACACTGATTCACTTTTAGAGAGTACAATAAAATTCCTCGATATTAAAATTTCGTTATTAAAATCGTTATTAAAATTTTGTTAACATTTGAAAGTGTTTTACATAAATTTGAAAGAGTTATAATAATTTTGTTAACATTTGAAAGTGTTTTACATTAATTTGAAAGAGTTATAATAATTTTAATGATTATTTTACCAACTTTTACATTAAAATCGAATTTAATCTCCAAATTGTACTGTATCCTCAATAATGTCAAGTTAAGTACGCGAATATCAAATGATTCGAGGTTTACAAGAGTTCGAATAAAATAGTACTATACACTTTCAAGTCAACCAGGCGCAAAATAGGTAACTCTATCGCGGAAGCCGAGACACGACTACCTTGACGCGAATTGCAGCATAGCAGGGTGAGGAAGAGAATCACACCGCGCTGCGATTACACGCGTCACGATAGTGTCATTGCGACAATCTTCTAATTAAGCCTAACAATGAGCATAAAGTACAGAGTACGACCGACCGACGGGTTATACCCCCACGGCCAGAAAATATAAGTGGATAATACGACCTAAATTTAGCATTGGCGGTACGAATATATATTTGGGGATCGGCAACAATTCCAGCACTCCAAATCCTATACAAAAATAATCTAAGAGGTCTCGTGACCAAAATTGTCGCGGCTTACAATACTGATACCAGCGGGATTGATGATTTTTCCAATCACTTCTAAGTCTTTTATGACATTGTAATGCGCTATTTGTTTACTTTATTCTTTGTTCCCGAAACTTATTTTACATGCTTAGATTTTTACTTCCATTATTGTTATTAAACATTGATAAGGATCCGAACGGGATCAAAACGCAGCGTTTGTCATATTTAAATGTAATGTAAAATACATATACTTCAGTGTAATTTATTATAGCATACTTTCACCATTGCTCTGATCCTCTAAGCCTTTGATTAATTTTGTTGACTTGTAAGTCTTTTTCAATTAGCGAATTGTGTTTTTGAGTCAATATTTTCTGTACTGACTGAAAAACACCTCATTTTCGCAACATATCACAGAATAAAAATACCTCGTAATTTCAGGATAAATATTGAGGGATAAAGAAGAAAAGCAATTATATGATTTTCTCTTTAAGTTTAATTAGTAAATGCATAGCATATTTATCCCGCGCTTAATTTCTACGAATATATACTTTATGTTAAATATATCACGACAAACAAAGATAATGATTTTTCATCCTTCGTAGAAGCGTGGCAATTCATTGCCCAATATGACTTTCCTCTCAATTCCCTTTTCTGTGATCACTCCAGTCCGTATGACACCGCCGCTGCTTCCGTCGCGAGCCATAGCTAATGCGAGAGCTGAAACATAAAAAATCCAAATTATTACTAAGAGTTGGATCTCCTTTGCCTTTCACGATGTACTTACTGTTTTCCACCAACTTGAGACACTCATCCTTTGGCATGTTGGATTTATATTGCGCGTCTACGTAACCATACACGTATGTCGAACCGGAACCGCCTATCGAGATTGGCTGTCTTACGCACATACCACCTATGGGAATACTGTAGACTTGACCACCTTTTTGTTTATCCCATCCCGCCACTAGGATTCCAGCCATGAGGGAGTCCCGATAGTTGTAGCATATCTCGCGAAACACATTGGCAGCCGTTTCCACCAAGGGTGGTGTTCCGAGCTCCATTCTGATATGAAAACGAATTATGTATCTTATAACTATTGATAAAATAAAGCAATTATTTATTAATACATTGTATTAATAAACAAAATTTCTGGCTAGTTTGGTCGACTACACTTTTTTCAACGATCCTTGGATTATTTGACTAGCGACATTAAGTTATTTTATAATTTTTAACAATTATTTATTGATATCCCCCTGATGATATCTTACTGATGCAATCCCAAATGGTAAGCTACAATATCAGCGATCGCTTGAGTGTCCGCTGCTGAACCGGAACGACAACAGTAAATATAATCCGTCACTCGTGTCAATTTGTCGGCGTACCGGTTGGAAACATAAGCTCTAGAATAATTATTTGAATTAATTACAAGAGATAAGAATTTTCGTTAAATTATAATTATAATTATTTACCCCGTTGTACCCCGAGAATCGGCACCAATTACGACACCACCGTCAAATTCGCATGCCATGATTGACGTCTGTAAATAAGTCATAAGATGATACCAAATATTGTCAGATTCAATTGACATAAAAAATTCAATCGCAAAGTTATAAATCAAGATAAGGAAATATGTGATAAACCTATAATTCTCTTTATCTGAATCTCATAAATTAGAATTTTTTAATAGAACCTCAAATCTCAAACCAATAAAGGAAGTTTAAACGTAATATTTCATACCATACTTATAAAAATTGTTTTTTGATTACGTTTAACTGCTTCTCACTCATTTCCTCCTTTTTAAATATGACTTTCTATAAATCTCTTTGACATTTTCAACACTTTTTCTAAATATACTTCTACAAAAAGTAAACTGTTACAAGTGTAAACTGCATAAAGTAAATTGTTACATTTTTATAAAAGTTGTCACAAAAAAAATATTGGATCAAAACTATAAATAAAAAATTTTTTTTTATAATTTTAGCTTTACTTTTATATTATTAAACAATTAATATACAGAATTAAATTTAAAAACTATAAATAACCAGAACTTTCTGCAAGAAATTCAGATTAAATTGCAATTTAAAGTATATTCTCGGATATCGGTAAGAAAAATTTTTTTTATTTTCAAAAAAAAAGCAGATAAATATATCTTAATTGTCTAATGAAATATTCATCTATTTAAATAAATCTCCAAGATATTGTTCGTAAATAATAATTTTTGTTTCCTAATCATGACTTTGCAGTGTCATCATAACCTAATAATGCTGCATCATCATCATCATTATGCTCGAAACGGGAACTTACCCCAGTACTCTGCTCCGAATTTAGCCAGTCTGGCATCATATTTTCCGAAATCGTAGCCGCTTGTGACTGCAGAGAAAAATCTGACATCGTTCTAACGGGCATATTATTCTGATGCGTCGCCTAAGAAAGCGGACATGAACCAGAGAACTAGAGAGACCCGTATTCGAAGCGCCTCTATGTTCACAAAATGTAATATTGAACTACATAGCCATGTCCATGAAACTTCTCAAAGGATAAAAATGCTTTCGCACATGAATTGCCATAATCATAAATGTAAAACGTAAACGTAAACCAATCAGAAAGACCAATCTGAAAAACCAATCAGAATATTGCTTTAGCTTTATGGCCAGTATTCATAGTCCGATCTTATATTTAAGATCGTCTTAAGTCTGCTTGGAGGTTGACTTAAGATCTCATTCAACCAATCAAATAGCTGCGTAGCATTTCAAGCTCGAACTTAAGACGATCTCAAATATAAGATCGGACTATGAATACCGGCCTGGGAGTTTTCAATACTGCCAACTTTATCTTTTTTCCCAACACCGAACAAAACTTCTTACTATCTTAGTGCGTTCGAAAATATGTTTGGTTGGTGTTGGGAAAAAAGATAAAGTTGGCAGTATTGAAAACTCCCAGTGCTGCGTTTCGTTTCTCCCACTGAAATCACTAGGATTAAAAAAATTTGCTACTTGAGATATTAAAAGAGGTAAATAAGTAGTTAAATATATTTTATAATAATATGTTTAATAACATCACATATATTATTATTAATACGAACGTGTGTTTTATATTAATAATGCTATAATTATAATAAAGTGACATGATTTACCTAAAATGTGATTTAAATTAAATATTTGCATATCTGGTAACAACATTTTCCAAATAATCTGTTATTTTTGGTACTATTTTCTTTTCACCTCTATTGTTATTACCTCTATTTTCGAATAAAATATTTTGTAATTCTTCATTATTATCATCACTATCTGAAGAAGAACTAATCGAAGATTCAAAAATGATGTTTTCGAGTAAAATATATTGTTCCATAATAATAATTAATGTAATTGCAACACTTTCATATATCGTACACTCCGCGACAACGATTCGTTCCGTGGCTCCTCTCTCGCGGGGCAAGGGGAGCGTAGAAGTGACCAATCAGCTGGCAGCGTGGCAGTGGCTGATTGGTTAGAGGCTACGCTCCCCTTGCCCCGCGAGAGGGACCACGGAACGAATCGTTGTCGCGCAGTGTACATACAGTTTAATATAATCCTAATGATCCCAGTGGGAGAAACGAAACACAGCACTGGGAGTTTTCAATACTGCCAACTTTATCTTTTTTCCCAACACCGACCAAACATATTTTCGAACGCACTAAGAGAGTTGCGCTACTATATATACTGTGAACTAGGATCAGTTTTAAAATAATTCGACAATAATTATACATCGATGTTATCAACATTTATTTTAATATGTAAAAACAACTTTTATTGCTTCTTTCAATCTCAATAAATCCAATAATATTAATTTTGCTAATTTCAATTTTTTTTATCTGTGAATTTTACTGCAAGTCACACAATATATTTTGCAATGTGATTCAAGAACCTCCAAGATCGAATAATATATATTTTCATTTTTAGATGAAAGATGATGTTAAATCGTAAACGACCACTTCGAACATATGAAAGAAAAACTGCTAAGAAGCCCTTCACAAATTTACTGCCGTCTCCTATTATATTAATCAGTAAATATGATTCTTTATGTGATGATCCATTTGAAACCACATTTGACAGAATTGCTAAGGGAGCAGTGTAAGAAAATTTTTAATATCAAATATATCTAAATATATACATACTTATTATGTTTGAACTTGAATCTTAGATTTAATACAAACACATACTTAATTTTCAACTTACATTCTCAAATTTATAGAGTGCCTCCTATACCGCCAGATACATATCAAAACGATTCGTGGAAAGGTAGCAGTAGTGACAGCGATATCAACAATTCAACAACAAATATTACAAAAGCACATAGTCATAAAGCTTCTGATCTTATATGTGATGGTCCAGATACACTTAATTCATCATGTAGTTATATATCTAAGTTAACACACAGGAGCAATAAATTGCCTCGTAAATGCAGAGGACTACAAAGAAACAAATCAGAAGTTGTCTTTAAGAAAATAGCATCTAAGAAGACAATAACAACACCAAAAAATAAAATACAGGTAGGGAAAACACAAGAAAAAATATGAATAGTTTATATAAGCAATCTGATAATTTCTAATAATATATAATAAATAGCAGTGCAGGAGACAACGAAACAAGCGAAAGAAAACACAATCTAAAAGAGCTAGTCGCACATGCAATAAACAAACATCTCATGAAAATTCTGATACAAATTTAGAGGATATGAAAAATGATACTTCATACAATAATAACAATAAGCATCTGTATAAAAGAGTTTCAAAGATCAAAAATATATCGCAAACTGAATGGAATAAAACTAACAGCCCCATTGCAGCTTTCAAATATGCTTCTAAGTGTCAACAGAATATTAAACCATGTTTTGTTGAGTTAGATGCTTGCACTGTTCAGAAATATGTAGTAGATCATGGGAAAATTATGGGAGCCAAGCAAGATACACTTCATGACATAAAATGTACAGGTACTTCACGTGCTAAAAGAGACATTTCTAAAGAATATAATGATATTTCTCAACCAATCTCAAGTGAATATAACAATATCATTGAAAGATTCAAACATTTGTCGATTAAACAATGCTTTGTAGCATTGCGTGACATTGATATTGTCAAAAATCGACTATCGAGGACTGAGAAAAGTATAAATGATTCTGTTGATACAAAAAATAAGTCAAATAAATCACATTTAATTCCCTATAATTCGTCTGCATCTTTCAATAGTGCTAAGCTTGTGCCATATAATACAAAGAGAGAAAGCTGGGAAGAAAAGCTAATAAAAGATAGCGTTGTCAAGGTGGAAAAATTAAAAGTCCAGGAATTTATAAAGAAAGATAGCATGGTATTTACAGGAAGAGAGAGAGACATAATTTCTAGTACTCCTATTAGCAAATATGTAAAATCTCATGCCTGTTCGACATCATTCTCCCCCATCAATAATACTCGCGATACCCTATATCCCATATATAAATATTCAAACGTGAGGAAAGACATTTCCGACATTGTGCTTCCCAATCGAAATAATTCTCCTTCATTGATTATGCCATCGAAGTGCGATTCTGATATTGTAGACGTACACGAACAATCGACGCAAGTTTTGCTGTCGTCTTGGAAAATGCAAACCAGAGATTCCTTAAAGATCGGAGCCTCCTTGTCTTCTGAGGAAAATATTCACACATTGCCTACACAAAAGTACAACGTAAAGAGCGATGTGATAAGGGAAGCACCTGCGCGTTCCTTGAATATCTCATCTATCGCAGACACCGATCCATCATTGTTCAGCGATTACTCGTCGAAGAATATAGAATGTCAAGTGCAAAAGATACATTCCACGAATACGTCGACATGCGATAAAATTGCACACACGACGGATTCGTTCGTTGATCTAGGTCTGGAACGAAAGCGAATAAATACAAATACGGAAGATGAAATTGTTAACAATGATAAGAGCAGCTCTTTCAGCGAAGATCAGGACGTCAACATCAACAACACCGTGTTTCTCGCACGATTGCAGGATTCGTTGAAAATTACAGGAAGGAGAACGCGATATTCCAAGTGGCTCAGCAATCAATTAAGCAGCTTCAAAAGCTCGATTGACGAAGCAGAATCAAATAGCGAGATATTTCGTTGCGAAATCGATGAAATTCGCGACATTCCTTCGGAAATATGTAATTTCGAATGTTCAACGAATGCGATGAAGAAATCGCTCGATTTCACACAGTTGCTCGATGATGAGAATAAACGAGTCGAAAAATCCGTTTTTCTGAAACCGGGCAAATATTGGGCCAGATCCTTGTCAATATTACATCGCATAAACGATGGATCTAATTTAGACAAATTGAGCCTCGGGAAAGGAAAAAGATGGAGACATAGCGTCAAAGATATATTGGATATGCAAAAACAAGGTAATTTTACATCGAGTTTTACGGCTAACTTTTTTGACGAGGTTTTAAGGTGCTAAGTCTGCATAAATTGTTACGTTTTGAAAAAAATCTGTAATTTGTAGAAATGAAATTCTGCTTATTTCATACAAATTTTTGGTTACTTTCGTAATAAGCAATACATTTTTGCATTATTTATTGGCATGAAACAACTGAAGGCAATCTCTATTGAACAGAATTTTGTCTAAAAAGCGCTAACCAAGATAATATTTCATAAATGAGCACCATCGCGAATCTCATATATTAATATTTAATATATTTCAATCTTAATACTACACTTTTTTATCAAATCTTTTATTTTATTTAATATATTTCAATCTTTTAATATTATTTTATTTAATATATTTCAATCTTTTAATATTATTTTATTTAATATATTTCAATCTTTTAATATCTTTTAATATTTTGTATTTTTATACTCTTATTTTTTCAAGTGACGAGGAAGTGTTTTAATGAGATTTCGAGCGCATTTTCATAATATGATGAAATGAGATTGAACAAATATAAAAAGATACTTCGCACTTGCATTTAGCGTGTTTGGTAAATGGGTAGGCTTTTCGCAATATTCGCGTAATTAGGCAACATTGATTACAGTCAGCTATTGAAATTGTAGCAATTGTTATGCGCAGGAATTTTCCAAAGCTGCTTGAAAAAAGATAAGGATGACGCGGATTTGTCCTGCAAAGAGCTCGATGCATCGGATATCGTATTGTCATTCGACGATGACAAGCATAAAACGTTTAATTCGGAAAACCATGCTAGACTTTCTAAGAGAATCTCGGTGCGAGTCGTGCCTAACAATACGAGTACTGGATGCAAGATCAAAGACACCTCGTTTCTCGAGGCGTTTGGAATAAAATCGGAAAAGTCTTCGAGTTTGGAACTGTCACGTGAGTATTTTTCATTCGCATATTTCATGTATACGAAAAATATTATTATACAGAGTGTCTGTTAAACATGCGGCAAAAATTCAGGGGGTGATTTATTGGGTTATTTTAAGACTTTTTTGTTATCTGATGATTTTCGAAAAAATGCTTTGTTTCGAAAATAAAAGCAATAAAAGTTTTTTGACCAATTTTTTATTCCATAGATAACAGGCGATATAGGTTTTTTAACAAAATTATTGAAAATTACAAGAAAAAAAAAAAAATTGGTCAAAAAACTTTTATTGCTTTTATTTTCGAAACAAAGCATTTTTTCGAAAAATTGATCAAAAAACTTTTATTGCTTTTATTTTCGAAACAAAGCATTTTTTCGAAAATCATTAGATAACAAAAAAGTCTTAAAATAACCCAATAAATCACCCCCTGAATTTTTGCCGCATGTTTAGCAGACACCCTGTATAAAAATATTATACAGTTGTTAAAAAAGTATGAACACGGTCGAATATCTCAATAAGGAAGAGTTTTAGAAAATGTTTCAAACAGAAGTTGCATGGCTTGAAGGGGCCCATCAGATGGTGTCATTAATTTGATCTTGAATAGTTACTTGAAGATCACGCGAAGGTCACCTACAATCTTTTAAATAGAACCACCTACTTTTTATTGCATATTCTTACAGTTCGTCTCGAGAGCTTTCCAAAACGCTATAATTAATTATTTATTCCTCTCATTACTTTGTACGTAAAAGTATTAAGGTAAGATAATCGAAAAATGAATATTTTGCTAAATATTTTACGGTTTATGTAAAATTAAGAAATGACTTCAAGCCTCCTGACTCGGAAAGTACTTGATGAAAACCAACTTAATTATAGTGTTTTGGAAAGCTCTCAAGATGAGCTACAAGAATATGTAAAAGCATATTGGGTGTCCCATTTAAGAAATTGAAGGTGACCTTCATGTGACCTTCAAATAACTCTTTAAGGTCAAACCAATGGTACCATGTTATGTTCCCCTCGAAGCCACACAACTTTTGTCTGAAACACTTTCTAGTAAAACTCTTCCTTATCGAAATATTGAGATATTCGATCGTGTCCAGGCTTTTAACACAGTGTATTGAATAAATGAATTAAATATTTATATTATATTTACAATATATTATTATATTTACAGTTCACGAAAAATCGCACAATAATCGAATTAGCAAAAGGCATTCCACAACTGCGAAAGATCTTGTTTTGCAAAGATGTTTGCAAAAATCTTACTTATCTTTTTCCCACTGCTTCCCAGATTCGTACGTAGATTCTTAGTACGCGATTTTTTACACATAGGCTGTTTCTACAAATATCGTTAATCGTTCTATTTCTACAGATATTTGAAATATTGCTGCAAAATTGGTGAAGGCGTTTACGGAGAGGTTTTTCTTTACGAATATCTCGATAAAAAGTCAGTTCTAAAAATTATTCCTATAGAGGGCGACAAGTTGGTCAATGGCGAGCCGCAAAAAAAATTCAACGAGATACTGTCAGAAATTGTGATTGCAAAGTGAGTAGAGATGTATGATGAATTACAGATGATTATCGAACATAACTTGATATTATTAAATATTCGTAGAGAATTGGATAATCTGAGATTAAATACTGTGTATAAGACTAGCGGATTTGTCGAAGTACGAAGTATCAAATGTATCATTGGAAAATATCCGAAGAGGCTTGTAGAGCTATGGAATATTTACGATGACAATAAGACCTCTGACAATGATTGTCCATCGATGTTTGAAGAAAATCAATTGTACATTGCTCTCGAACTCGGTGACGGTGGAGAAGACATGGAGGCGTTTGTCTTTCAAACGGCGGAGGAAGCCCGCGCTTTGTTTTTACAAGTCAGACAAGTTTACATCTGTAACTTTTTCTCGATGATTAATCATTAGTTATTCGCCGTTCTTTTTTTACAGACTGCATTTGCATTAGCGATTGCCGAAAAAGCACTTGAATTTGAACACAGAGATTTGCATTGGGGTAATGTACTAATATCGAGAACGAAAGAACCATACATATACTATACTCTCAACGGGAGAGAAATTAAATTACCTAGCAACGGTGTAAAGGTAATATTCTATCAGGAAATGTTCTATATAATAATCCTATTGATTCTCATAGCATGATCTTTCTTTCTCGCAAGGTGTCGATTATAGATTTCACCCTGTCAAGAATGTTGTATCAAGGATGTTGCATATACAACGATCTTGCACTGGATCCGGCCTTATTTACCGCATATGGCGAATATCAATTTGAGATTTATCGTCTAATGCGCGAGAAAATTCAGTAAGTTTATGTTTATATACAGAGTGTCCCAAAAGTTCCGGAACGGCCAAATATTTCGAAAATAAAGTATTTAAGAAAAAATGTTTCCTACAAAAAAGTAGGCTCAATTGATGATGACTTTGACTTTGATCTAGGGGTCAAATTTTGAGGTCATTTCAACTTGAAATGAAACTCCCTATTTTTTATTATATATTCTTGTAGCTTTTCTAGAGAGCTTTCCAAAACACTATAATAAAGTATTTTTTCATTGAGTACTTTTCGAATTATGAAGCTTAAAATATCTTAATTTTACATAAACCATAAAATATCTAGTAAAATATTCATTTTTGATTATCTTACTTTAATACTTTTATGTATAAAATAATGGGAGGAATCAGTTGGTGTAAAGAAAACACATAATTATTTCGAAGAAAAAAAATATGTAAAATATGTAATTTGCAATTAACAATTATATATATATATTTTTAAAACATCTTTGTGTTTTTTACACCAATTGATTACTCTCAATATTTTGTACATAAAAGTATTAAGATAAAATAATAAAAAAAATGAATATTTTATTTTTTATTTATGATTGATTTATTTGATGATATTTTATATTTTATGATTTACATAAAAGTAAGATATTATTTTAAGTCTCCTAAATCGAAAAGTACTTAATGAAAAAATACTTTATTATAGTGTTTCGGAAAGCTCTCAAGATAAGCTACAAGAATATAATAAAAAATAGGGGATTCTATTTAAAAATTTCAAATTGACCTTGAAATGACCTCTAAATTTGACCCCTAGTTAAAGTCAAGGTCATCGTCATGTGCCTTATTTTGAGCCGTACAACTTTTGTACGAAACATTTTTCTCTAAAATGCTTTATTTTCGAAATATTTGGCCGTTCCGGAACTTTTGGGACACTGTATATACTATATATATATATATATATATATATATATATATATATATATATATTCTTGTTTTTTTACTTAGTTATTTTTCCTTTAAAAAAATAAATAATTAATTTATCTTTGCTTCGGTCTTGTAGAAATAATTGGAATAAATTCGAACCATACACAAATATCTTATGGTTACATTACATTTTGGATAAGATGATCACAGCAGTAAGATACAAAAGGAAGAACGTAAAAGTACATAAACATGCTATTGTCAGATTAAAAGAATTTAGGGATATAATTTTAAACTATGACAATGCATTTGATTTTGTGACCGATTCCAGCGTCGTGCATTTGTAAGTTGGCGACAGGAGATCTCTCGGTAACGAATCAAACTTTGCAAAACTTTAAAAATTTTTTTATATGTCACTTGATCACATATGTACAGATCAATAACGTTTGTACTGTTACAAGACTGAAAAATTACCAATAATCTTTCTTAAACTTTTACACTATTTACATCTCTATTAAGTTTATTTATAATTAAAATTGAATAACTTCGTTCTTCATTTATCGTTTTTATGCATGTGATAATAATAATTAACAAAAATTAAATAATAATTTTATATAATTTATTCGTGCAATTCTTTCATTATTCAATGTTTATTATTTAATGGCCTCTTTTTTTATTTTATTAATATAATAATTATCCATCTTCATTACATAATAAAGTGATCTTATATGAATTAATTTTAATATAAGTTTTGATTTTTTCTTTTTCCAATATGTACTTCCCCTGATTCCATATATTTTCTTTTTAGTGTTAGGATTTATCATTTTCTTAAAATTATTTTTTCAATGTTCTTTCATATTGTTAAACGAAAATTATATTTTTGACAAAATGCATTTACTTAAAATTAACTTATCCTCTTGTTTCTATATGTAACATATCCAACTTAAAAATAATTTGTGAACAAATAAATCATATCAAAACAATATTTCGATTTTATAACTTGTAAGATATATAATAAACTAATGTTCAATTCTTGCTTAATGAAAAAATTATTTAAATTGCAGGTTATCAAAATTATTTTTTCTATAATAATCTCTCTATTAAATTATAATTTATCTGCAATTTATTTTTATTCTTTAAATAAAAATTTATTTTCTTTTATAAAAATTATCATTTACTTTATTCTTACTTAATAAAATGTATTTTTTATTGTGTCATTGTTTCTCTTTTACCAACGTTAAATTAAAAATAAATGAACACACATTTCTTTCTATGGCTGCGTTCCGTTTCACGCATATGCGCGCATTTATCTATAGTATACGTTACGCATACTATAAATAATGCGCACATATGCGTGAAACGGAACGCAGCCTATATTTTTGAGAAAACATTTTCAGAAAAATTATTTTAAAGATTTCTTAGATTTTTTCTTTTCTTTTTAATTTCCTTAAATATTTTAGTTGAGAAAAAAACAATAATATTAGAAAATAACCGAAAAATATGAGAAAAAATATTTGTTATCTCTTTAACAGAAAATTAATTTTATTTATTAAATCCTTTCTTATTTAACATGTTCCAATTCATTCACAATTCCGATTGTAACTAGAAAATACAAAATTGTTTTCTTCGAATGATAAAAATAAATTTGTTAAATCATGTGGTTCATTATTTTAAAGGATTTTAGAGATCTATCATAGCATATGATGCATATTTATTATGTCGTACATCATACATTATGATAATTAATTAATATTAACAAATTATAATATAATAGACAACATTTAATTATTTTTTAAATAACAATTTAAATAATTGTTTAATTATTATATTTAAATAGAGTTATATATAATGTTTTTACATGTTTTCATATCTGAAAAATAAGATATATTTTTTTAAAGAAATAATTACAGAAAATAATCTATATTATCATTATAAAATAAAATTAAAAAATAAAACCAGCTGTGCAGTAAAAATCAATATTACTTGAAATGAAAAAATCAATACCAGATGACGGATCATCATGTATAAAACAATCTTGATAATAAATTAATCTATAATTGAGTCCTTTTGATAACATTCATATGAGTAAAAAAAAGATATAAGAACCAAACAACAAGGACCAAACCCCAGTAAAACGAGTGTAAAATTCTTAAAGGATATTTCTCATTTTAAAAATTTCGCTTGTTTTACTGTGATTGATTTTTAAGGTGCCATTTTATACATCGCTCTATCGCTAGATTTTAGCGACATAATGACGTCACGTAGTCACCAGCGACGGGATTTTGTAATTGGATTTTTCCAATTACAAGCGACATTCACGAGCGATAATTTTGAAATTTTAAGACTCAAATGAATAATCAAAGAGTAAGTATATAATTTTGTAATAAATATTAAATATATATAATAATATTTTATAATTTAATAATAATGTAATTATTTTTATCCTGTATGTAGAATGTTTGTATTTATAAATTTTATACTCGTATAAAAAAAATGCATTAAAATCCACTTTTAAAGTAAAACATATTTTCGAACATATTTCAAACATATTTTCGAATGCACTGTTGGTCAATAGATAAAGTTGGCAGTATTGAAAACTCCCAGTGCTGCGTTTCGTTTCTCCCACTGGGATCATTAGGATTGTATTAAACCGTATGTACGATATATGAAAGTGTTGCAATTACACTAATTATTATTATGGAACAATATATTTTACTCGAAAACATCATTTTTGAATCTTCGAGTAGTTCTTCTTCAGATAGTGATGATAATAATGAAGAATTACAAAATATTTTATTCGAAAATAGAGGTAATAACAATAGAGATGAAAGGAAAATGGTACCAAAAATAACAGATTATCTGGAAAATGTTGTTACCAGATATACAAATATTGAATTTAAATCACATTTAGGTAAATTATGTCACTTTATTATAATTATAGCATTATTAATATAAAACACACGTTCGTATTAATAATAATATATGTGATGTTATTAAACATATTATTATAAAATATATTTAACTACTTATTTACCTCTTTTAATATCTCAAGTAGCAAATTTTTTAAATCCTAGTGATCCCAGTGGGAGAAACGAAACGCAGCACTGGGAGTTTTCAATACTGCCAACTTTATCTTTTTTCCCAACACCAACCAAACATATTTTCGAACGCACTATAAATCGTTGCTGGAGTCCTTTTCATGTTCAATAGCTAGTCGCTAGCGATAATCTAATCACGTGACTTTTTTTATCGTTCAAAACGAGCGATGAGCGACACATGAAAAGGTACCTTAATAACTGAGCAACGCGATTGGTCGAAACCTTATTGTTATGTTTTATGGAAGGTGTGTGCGACCAGCTTAACAAGTAATATAAATTGTAGAACCAAAAAAATTTTCCAATTAAAAAAAAGCTACAATTATCGATTCTTATTTACAAATTCCGTTTCTTTGATTAATGTTATATTTTTTGAAAGCGATAAATTCATGTAAATTATATAACCATTCGATATCAATCGATAATATACTCATCGAAACGCGCGCGATGTTCAATTTATTAAATATATAAAATATTTATAAAATATTATTTATAACATCATTACAACTATGCATAGTGTAACGAAAAGAAGCGACGAGTTAAAAATTATACCGTTGGAAGAAATGTTTGCAGGTATTTTCAAAATTATTCATCCATGTGTTTCAATCTCGTTTACATATATAGTTTATAATTGCAAAAATAATTGTTGCACAGCATATTGCAGCATGGATCCTGTATCCCAACGTATGGGTGTGTCACTCATACCTCTTTCGCAGAGCAATAAGTGGTTGATGTCCGCAGGTATATTGGATATGATTAAATTGACGACGACGGATACAGGCCTTGCCTTTTTTAAATTTCGTAAACGTGCTCTGTCATATGTTGAATATCTGACTTATCTAAAAGATCTGGCTACGTCATATAATTTAAATTTTGAGGACATGAAATACCGAATGCAAATATGTGGCAAACCTTCCATCATGCGCGAGGATATAAAGACGTAAGATACTCTATGTTTAAAATTTAAACCATGTCACATTGACTCTATTTACAAACTTTATTTTGCACTTGAATATGTACATGTAAGTTCGTTAACAATATGTACTCATTTTTAATTTTTTATACACATTTAGAAATTGATATTTCATCGATTCTACCTTCTCATTCCTTGAGATACTCTAAGTACGATCGCGAGTTCTCTTAATAGCGCATTCGATAGAGAACGCAAGAATAAATAGAGAAAAGATAAATAAAAAATATATTTTTGAATTTTCAAAATTGATATTATATATCATGCGCAATATTTTTTTCTAACATAGTCGACTTAAATTTTCAGCCTAATCAAACAGTTTCATGATTCGAAATATACATTTGACACATACACTTGTGATTATAATGTCCATTTTCTTGCATATGTCTCAATAATTATAGAGCTCGCCAAATAAATGTAAAACGATACACAAATTAAATTCATACAAATAAAAACAATTTATAATTATTCTCCAAATCAAGGCATTGGAATCACAAAAGGGCTCAGACAAAAGTGCTTTCTGAAAATCGTCAATTTCAGAGCAAAACTAGTTATTTACGTTACATTTTTACGTTTCGAAATTGCTTCTCCGCCCTTTTGTGTTTCTTCAAGTATCAAAAATAAAATACCGGAAATTAAATATGTAAATAACAATAGCAATAATCTTTTAAGAGAGAAACAATAAAAAAAAAACTTCAGAAAAGGGGCCGAATTTGAGTTACGCGATGTTATTTTAAACTACTGCTCCGAGGACAGTAAACAACTTTCCGAAGCTTTGATGGTATTATTTTTTTTTCTTCGATGTAATACTATTACTATCCTCAGTTATATGTTTCGTTGCATCCATTTTAACGCACTTCTAACATTAGCGAGCGTTACCCTGCTAAGGAAGCTTGCGATCAATTGATATTCCGGCATTGTACGCCTTCCGAAAGAACGCGTGGAAAGCATTCGTTTGTATGCTTGATGTCTATCGATATCGACGAAGAACGATCCGTGCGATGGGGTCAAATTTGCATTCCGTCCTTCACAAAGAACTTTTGTGGTCAAGCACAAAAGCCATTGCATAATCTATGATTGTGCATGCGTAACAATATTATTATTTGAATCAATTTGACGAACGTTATTTATGTAAACTCGCTGCTTACCTCGTTGCTTGACGGCAAATATCCTTCCTTTTTTATCCACGAGCTAGGTGCCCACAGGTATAATTGTAGTATTGTTGCCGCTAGTTCAGTGTCGAGTCGCTACACATTAAGAAACAAAAACATCTTAATGTGGTTTCTTAATTTAAAGAATGTAATAAATATAATTATAAAAGTACATTTATTAAGTATATTTGATATACTTGTAATAACATAAATATAATTTTAAATTATAAATATTATAAATATAATTATAAATTTAAATTATAAATATAATTTTAAAAAAAGATTTTTCTTTTCGAACAAATTACCATCTATCATACTCTCTTTTACACACCTTGTATACACTTTTTACTAATGAGTTCTTTATAACGGCGTTGATAATCGACGGCAGATTGTCCGGTAAAGCAGGAAGTGCGTCCTCCGTATAATTATAATTCTTCAAAGCGGCTTTCTCGCCTTTCTCGCCATAAAACGGATTCTTCATCCCGAATATCTCATATGCAATAGTACCCGCCGTCCACAGATCAGCCTTGGTGTAATTTATACTGGTAAAGGGACCAGGTTCCGCTGTTATCACCTCCGGAGCCATTAATGCAACATTGCCGCCTTTATTGATGTCGTGAGTGTTAAAAGGTAGATACAATCCGTGATTCTTATCGGCCAAACAACAGCCAAAATCCGTTACGACCAAAGATGGACAATTGTCAGATTCTTCCGACAGGTCGAGTAGGATGTTGTCACTTTTCAGATCTCTAATTTGGAAACACACAAAAAAATTGTAAGACGAATCTTATCTACAGGGTTAGGAAAAAGTCTGGATACCCCTTAATTTCGAAAAATAAGGATTTTTAAAAAAAATGTTTCATACAAAAGTTATAGGGTTTTATGTGGCGCATTACACAGCAACATTATTATGACCTCGAATAGCGTTGTCAAGATTATGTGAAGGTCAGCTTTAATTTTTTAAATGAAACCCCCTATTTTTCATTGCATATTCTTGTAAACTTACCTCGAGAGCTTTCCAAAACACTATAATAAATTATCTTTCCATGAAGTACTTTTCGAGTTATGAAACTTGAAATCATTTCTTAATTTTACATAAACCATAAAATATCTTGTAAAATATTCATTTTTCGATTATCTTACTTTAATATTTTTATGTACGAAATAATGAGAGGAATCAATTAGTGTAAAGAAAACACATAGTTGTTTCTAAAAAATATGTAATTTGCAAATAACAATTCCATATTTTTTCTTAAAAACAACTGTATGTTTTCTTTACCAATTGATTCCTCTCATTATTTTGTACATAAAAGCATTAAGGAAAGATAATCGAAAAATGAATATTTTACAAGATATTTTATGGTTTATGTAAAATTAAGAAATGATTTCAAACCTTATAATTCGAAAAGTACTTCATGGAAAAATAATTTATTATAGTGTTTTGGAAAGCTCTCGAGGTAAGCTACAAGAATATGCAATGAAAAATAGGGGGTTCTATTTTTAAAAAAATTGAAGCTGACCTTCACGTAATCTTGATAACGCTATTCGAGGTCATAATAATGTTGCTGTGTAATGCGCCACATAAAACCCTATAACTTTTGTATGAAACATTTCTTTTAAAAATGCGTATTTTTCGAAATATTAAGGGGTATCCAGACTTTTTCCTAGCCCTGTATATTGAATGCCATTGTGTATGTAAACAATATGTAATAGATTAACAATGTAACCGACATCTTACCGATGCGCAACGCCGTTTGCATTCATATGAGCTACCGCTTCCAGCAACTGTGCAAGCAATAGTATCGATACTCGCATATTGACATTTTGATTCACCAAATATTGCTTCAACGTAATATCATATCTAAAATCGATATGCGATACGTTAAATATTATGCAAAGTGTATAAAATTACGACCGCAATTCTATCCAATAATAATTAAATTCTGTCCAATAATAATGACCTTTTCATCACTAAAAATAAACTCATATTCCTTCCCGATCCACTAGGATTGATTCTAGTTGGTAAAGCATCTGGATACATTCCCCAAGAATCGGGTAATATCGGTATTCTATCAGCAAAGACGTAATACATTGCCACAATGTTTGAATGAGATGGTAACATTACTGTATTTTCTGCCAGTCTCTGCTCCCAGATAGCCAATTCATCGTTTCCGTAATGTCTTCTAGCAGGTACCATTTCTCTATACATGGCTCTCAGAATAGCAGAAGCGTTAGATTCCGCATCATAATTGAACATCATTTTTATAGCTAACGGAAACGCAGTCACTTCTTCTTTCGTTTTTCCATCGACATTTGCCAGATCGTTATTTTCGTCCTGTGTAGCATCGACGAATCGTGCCGCGTATACAGCAGCAGAGCAACCCTTAGCAATGATAGGTCCGATTGCGAAATCTCGTAAACTCACATTCTCGTTGATGGGCATAGTCTCATAATTTTTGTCATTCTGCGGCGCATTCCATCGCAATTTTGAAACCGCTTCCTACATAACATATAATATTTCTAATATAATATTTCAAACCAAATTACAAGTCTAATTAAAGATTGTTTATCGATTTAAATCTTATTTAAATATCTAATTTATACCCGAATTTCCCAGCACACCCCTTCCAGCTCGTCATCCTTGGTCAATATCCCAGTACCTGACGCTAACGAGACTCCAACAAGAGCAAAGAACGGCGCGGAATCGCCAAAGACAAGCCTGCTTGCCGCACGCCTTCGTAAATCCGCTGCGAGACTGTTGGTGACCCTCTTTAGGATATTGTCGACGAAGATGCGTCGGGCATGCGCTCCTAGATAACCGAGATGTCTCCCCGTGCTCCATACATTGCCACTATTCTGGCAAGGAAGCCCGCCGTTCTGGGACTTGCCTGTTACAAACATCAACATGAAATCACAAACATCTAATAACACCGTTTGCCCGCTAATAGTGCTTTGCAAAATATTTACAAGTCAAATTCTATATATAAATTTGAAAATCAAACCAACCATACTGATTGTTTTCTAAAATTGTACAACAATCAATACAATTTCATTCTTATCATCTCATCTCCCAAAGATGATTAATTTAAAATTTGATGAAATTGTCTTGAAAAAAATACTAATATATCTTAATAAATGTTATAAGTAATATTTTATATATATATATTATTATTTTATTATAATATTCTTAATATAATATTTTATATATATATATATATATATATATATATATATATATATAGGGTGTCTCAGAGGATATAAATATAATATTTTATATATATATATATATATATATATATATATATATATAGGGTGTCTCAGAGGACTATATACAAGTGCTTGTGAGGAGGTAGAGTGCAGTAAACTGAATAGAAAAGTCTTATACCATTTTACGATTTTCGCAATAATAACAGAAATATTTAAATAATAAAATATTTAAATAATTAAATATTAAAATCGGAAGACAAACGCTTCTATCTATTTGAGCTATAAGCCAACCGTGTTACAATTTTTGTAATGATAACAGAAATATTAAATATTAAAAACAGACGAATGAAAGGAGCGCTCCTTTTTTAATATTTAAATCCGATTTTAATATTTAATATTTCTGTTATTATTGCGAAAATTGTAAAATAGTATAAGACTTTTCTGTTCAGTTTACTGGTCTTTTCCTCCTCACAAGTGTTTGTATATAGTGTTCTGAGACACCCTGTATATATGAAGTATATTGTTGAAGTATATTATTATACTACATATATTAAGATGATTAAGTATATTAAATATATTAAGTTCAAATATATTTAGTCCACTAATATATATATGTATTAAATAATATATATAATAATAATAATAATAATAATAATAATAATAATAATATTATAAGTATAAATAGCAATATTCCAAAGTAAAAAAATATAAGTAAAAAAATATATATTAATATAAGTAAAAATACATGAATATATATTTTTTTACTTATATAAGTAAAAAAATATATATTAATATATTTTTACTTATATTAAAGTAAAAAAAATATAAGTAAAAAATATATATATAATAATAAAATATATATATATAATAAAAAAATATATATAATAATAATACTCTAACAATATTCTAAGTAGTCTAAATAATATTAATATATATCTTAGACGACAGGATAAGAGAAGATTGCGACGTATGTAATTTACCTATCTGCGCGACGTGTATCTTGTCAAAATGCTCGTATCCTCTTGAGTAGAAGCGCTCGTTATTCCGTAATGAGCGCAATATGACGCGACCATTTTGCACGAGACGATGGACCACCGTCCGTATTGACATCTCTCCGCTCTCCTGGACCGGGACAGCCCAGCGGACGAGCCCGTGCGTCAGATACGCCTTGAGGGCCGGTGGTAAAGCCGCCACGAAGGTCTCAATCTTTGTGCCGTTTATCCCTTAACTGCGCAACGCAAAACAAAAGCGACATGATGCGTGACACAACGCACGTCGCACGTCATAGACATGTCAAACTCGTAGAAGCGGCGATTCCAGATGTTTCTTATGTCAACACACGACAGCCAATCGACTTACAGCTTCAGCTTTGACAAAAAGAGAATCCAACATTGATTCGATATATTGAGATTTAGGCTCCGCCCCGATGACTAAAAAGCGGGAATTCAAACATAGATTATATTTAATGTAGAAATCTTTGACTCAAAGGGAAAAATAAAATACACACTTTCGAGTATTTATTTATATAACTTATTTCTTTTTATTTTTCTGACCCTTAAACAGAACGATTTTTGTACAAATATGTCTTACAAAATTATCATGCTCTTTCAGAGAAATAATCTTAGCTTCATATTTTAATTTTATTTCTAAGTATTTACAATTAGATGCAATATTTATAATTATAAATATTTTAATTAGTATATTATACAAATATTCCTGTGTTATATAGGAATCTACTGTACTTTATTTCTTAGATTATTAATAAGGAATTAAATATTAAATCTAATTAAAATTTAATCAAATTAGATTAAATCTAATTGTAATGTAATCTAATTAGATTTAATATTTATAATTCCTTATTAATAATATAAGAAATAATATAAGAATTAAAATACAGTAGATTTAGAACAGAATCTTCAAATATACTTACCCATAAAATATGTTTCTTTGTTAACATTTTTATCATTTTTTTTCTTATATTTTGTTGATTCACATCCTTCCACAAAACAATAAATTACCATTTTAAATAAAATAATTTTCAAAAATATGTAAATGATACACTGTGGAATTTTTGTATGATACCAAAGTATGACACACTTCACAAGAATTAGTTTCTACGTTTACCACTTGGTCATTGATGTCGCAACATATCTTCACTTTCGATATCTCGCGATATCAATTAGTACTAGCAGTTTATATTTATATAGTTAAAGCAGCTCATTTTATAAAAGCGAGAAGCTTATTGGTTAGCACATCACAAGAGAGATTACAGATTAGAATTTAATTAATCAGAAGAAAATTAAAATTTCTTTTTTCTGATTAGTCAAAAATTTCAATCTTTTATCTATTTATTTTAGTCTATAATTGTTTTGATTATTTTTTGATAAGATTTTTATTATATAAATTTATTATAATATATTATAAATTTATTAATTAATATTTATTAATATTATATATTGTAATTTATTATAATTTATTATATTTTTTATTACTAATTTTTATTATTTATATTTTTTTAATAACATTTTTTATCATTTTGATTGGTTTAAAATTGATCTCTCTTTCTCTCTCTCTTTTTCTTTCTTCCTGTTTTTCTTCTTTTCTCTCTCTTTTTAACTTGTATACATACAAAATACATAATACATACAAAAAACTATGAGGTGGAAAGAGAGAAAGAGAGATAGTGAGAGGGTGGGAGGGATGGAGGAAAGAAGAGTGGGGGAGAGAGAGATTCCTTTGCACACGTGTAATCGAGAATTATAAACACCGAGGTTATTTGCAATAGTGATACAATAATTGCTTTCATCGTGATATTTACGTTCTGAATAAGAAGGCAATTTAAAAAAAAAAAGAATTTACCATGCCAGCCATAAATAGGATGTAAGTTATTTGTTTTCTGAATACATTTGGGGTGTATTAATAATGTGTATTAGAAGTATTATGTATATATACTGTAATTATGAATAATATTTTCACATAGAAAGCCAGTTACACATAAGGGCAAGAAAGCTCTATTAAAAAAAGAACCTCAATTGGTAGAAAATGCCAAAGAAACTTTGTGCTTCAAAGGTAAAAATGCTTCACAGATTGTCATTGATTTTATGAAGGATTTGGTGAGTGAAGTAATTTGTATTGATTATATAATTATTATATTTAACTTGAGATAATTCTTTGAAAATATTGATGAAATTTTAAAATTATAATTTGAAACTGAACATACTATGATAAATATACTTTGTATTATCTAATGTATTATTCATTCATATATTTTATAGTATGATCTGAAGAAACCTAATGCACAAATGATGCAAAAGAAAAATGACATACTACCATTTGAGAATATTGTACCTGTTGAAAAATTTACAGTAAAGTATGAAGCACCTCTTTTCATTATGGCTTTGCATAATAAGAAGCGTCCACACAATCTTATTATGGGTCGAATGTATGAGCATACATTATTAGATATGATAGAGTTTGGTGTAGAAAATTACAAAGGATTAAAAGACTTCAAAATTGAGAAGATCACTTCTGGAATAAAACCCTTATTGATCTTTAATGGTGAACTCTTTGAAAATAATTATGAATACGGAAGAATTAAAAACTTACTTGTTGATATGTTTCAAAGAGAAGTGGTTGAAAAAATCAGATTGCAAGGTCTTGAACATGTCTTAAGTTTTACAGCTGTTGAAAATAAAATACTTATGCGTAGTTACAGGTAGAGAGATATAAAAATTGAAATAAAATGATACAATTATTTTAAAAATGCTTTTTAAAAATTTTTATATTATAGAATACTTTTGAAAAAATCCAACACAAGGATACCTAGAATAGAACTTGAGGAAATAGGACCACGTGCTGATTTACTATGCAGACGTAACAAGTTGGCCTCTGAAGATTTATTCAAGCAAGCTTGTAAGAAACCCAAAGAACTCAAGGTATTTTTATAAATTACACGCACATATATAATATATATATATAATGCAAAAGACAAATATTAAGTACAATATTATGATTATAGATGAAGAAGAAGAAAAATATCTCTACAGATACGCTTGGAACGACACATGGTCGTATACATATTGGAACACAAAATATTGATAAAATTCAAACAAGAAAAATGAAAGGTTTAAAGAAAACATTATCCGAAAAGAAGAATCAAAAAAGAAAAATAGTTGACGACAATAATGACAGTGTAACAAAACTTAGAAAAGTTGAAAATTCATTAATTGCTTGATAGTGTAATATATTGTGTTAAGAAAATTTTAATAAATTTTTATTTAACCTCTAATTACGTAGATTATTTTTATATGCTACTTCCAACTTCTACTAGTAATGCTTTACTAGTCCTATAATATATAATAATTGATAATGTAAATCTTATATCAAACTTATGAATATTTTTAACATTATTTTTAATATGCAATTTTTTATCTTTATTATAATTTTAAGTAAACATTCACTCTGATGTTATCATATTATTTTAGGAAAAAAATTGTATTTTTTGGATTTTATTTTAGTGGTTCTGATAGTCATTCTGAAGTTAAGAAGATTATCGATAAGATTTTTAATTTCTCAATTTTTTGCTCTTGACATAATTGTGAAATGTTAAGTTTTGAAAGAGTATTTGAAATATAATTTGCAACAGTACTTACTCTCTTATTGAGGAGTTATCTACAATTTAAGTTTAGTTAAATAATTACTAAGTAATTGAAATATTAGAATAATATAATGCAATGAAAAAATATGTACATTTGATAGATAGGGAGAGAGAGATATATAGATATTATTAATATTTATTATTATAATAATACATTTCTCTTATATACACAAATAACTTATATTACTTTAGTACAGCATTTTATTTTCTAATAAGATTTATGATACATGTATAGCCTTTGAAGTATTAAAAGCATTTATAATGGATAATGTGGAATAAACTTTATTTCTTGTATCATGTAACTTTATTAATTGTACCTTAAAGGTATTTAAATTATAACTTTTGTTTGACACATATATAAGATATGTAGTTATATAATTATTTATCTCTGTAATTCAAAAAAATAAATAGGAGCGTAGCAATTTTAAATGATTCTAACAATAAGCTGAAGGTATAGTATAAGGACTTCGATTGAAAATAATAATACAGTAATCTTTACAAATATAAATTGTCAGAGAGCACACATTTATTTAGAAGAATTTCTTAAACTAATGAATCGGTCACTTTTGTTTACAGCAATTCTTCGAAATTTTGCCTTTTTTGCTAGTTCTATATGTCTTATCTGTCTTGCTTGATCCAAGTGCTCGCCTGGCACTGTACGGTTTGGATCCAACCTTTGATTTGTTGGTCCACACGTGAAACTGGGAATTGATAGGCGATGCAAAAACCTTTTCGTTGGTGCAGGTCGTTGCCTCGAATCCCTCGCGGTTCGTCGTCAGGTTCTCCAAGGCGGTGCGCTCCTTCCGACTAATTTTCGGGGTTTTTGGACGATAACAGTGATACCCAGCTTCGTTAAGACGTCGCCGGGCGGTCCTCTCGGACACTTGAACGTTCGCCGCGTTGACAGCCTCCTGTACAGTGCCAAAGGGCTGTTCGACGATTGCGGCGATGATGCGCTTGTCTTCCTCGGTCCTTGTCTTACGAGGGCCACGATTGTTGCGACGATGATCACGCAAAGCATGATCACCGCCCTTAGTAAATCGTTGTATCCATCGTCGGACAGTTTTTTCAGAGCAGGGAATAGCAGCGGCAATTTGGGCTACTGTTCTTCCCGCCTGCCACTGTCCGATGATACGACCTCGTATTTCGGGACATAAGTTTTTAGGCATCGTTATATCGTTTTGCACTAAACGTCCGCTCAATACTCTAAGTAAGTAACAAGAGAGCAACAAGAGAAAAGTAGAACAAATGAAAAGCGCGCGAAACAAATGGAAAGTTTCTTAAGACTCTGCACACAATAGAAAAAGTATTAAAAGTAGGAACAAATATTAAACATTCTTACTAAATAACTGTCATATATATATACATACCGGGACACTGTCACAGGCATCTATATTACACTAGAGAACCTCTAGGAGAGAGAATGGACAACTGATCAAGCTTTTTCATGATTGGCTGGCAGAAAATGTATCAATTTTAGCTATTGCGACGCCAATGCAAAATATGATCACACACAAATAGGTTAATATATGTGTGTCATGTGTGTCCTATTTGTGTGTCATCATATTTTGCATTGGCGTCGCAATAGCTAAAATTGATACATTTTCTGCCAGCCAATCATGAAAAAGCTTGATCACATGTCACATGATCAGTTGTCCATTCTCTCTCCTAGAGGTTCTCTATATTACACTAGACTGCTAACTTCCTTAAGATACCCTTTCATGTGTCGTTCATCGCTCGTTTTGAGCGATAAAAAAGTCATATGACTAGATTGTCGCTAGCGACGGGTGGCACCCGATTGACCACGTCGCCAATTGGCCAATTCAAAATAGAACTCTCTGATTGGTTAATCGTTGCTGGTTACCCTAGGCACAGGTCGATATAATTGGCTGTCAATCGCAACGTGGTCAAATGGGACGCTCCCGTTAGCGATTAGCTATTAAGCATGAAAAGGGCTTCAGCAGCGATTTAGAAAGAAAAGTTGCGTTAAGATAGTATAAAACGCATAGTATAAAATAAATATAAACAATATTACAAGCAAAAAAATATTATTGGATAATTAAAAATATTAATTGGATAATTGAGTGCACAAAAATTATAAATGAAAATAATATAAAGCATAACAATATAAAGAAAAGATGAGCAGTAGCGGCAGTTCTTTATTATTTAGAAGAAAAAAAGAAATGATGATACAAAAAAAAATGTTTTTGGGTTAATCCATTGTTTCGAATAAGAGATAAAAGTGGATTTTATAATGCATTTTTTTTATATAAAATTTATAAATACAAACATTCTACCTAATACAGGATAAAAATAATTACATTATTATTAAATTATACATTATTATTTAATTATAAAATATTATTATTATATATATTTAATATTTATTACAAAATTATATACTTACTCTTTGATTCATGATTAATCCATTTGAGTCTTAAAATTTCAAAATTATCGGTCGTGTCGCTTGTAGTTGGAAAAATCCATGAACGTAAGAAATACTGGACAGAGTGTATTGCCGCGGGGGTGAAGCTCAAAGGGTGAGGGGAAAGAAATGTCTACTGCAACGGAATATGAGGCATGTAAGATGGCGACGGATATTAATTTCACGGAGTGTGATATTTTTGAATTTCTTAATATTCAAAAATGATTCGGAATAACACAGCGATTTCAGATGATAGATGATTTCACGGAATCTCTCATATTTTATTCGATTTACGTCCGTGCGACTTGAAAATAGACGCTAAATCTGATGCATCTAAGATGGCCGCGACAATAAACCCCTCAGATTTCACTCCATTCATATAAACAGAGAGAAACCTGAGAGCGGCCACCTCGCTTTAACGGGCACATTGTCCTAATGCGCCACCTGACAAAGTGGACGTCAACTACATCTATTACAGTCGATAATAATACATGGTTCGTATCTGAGCTATGGTTCATGTCCGAGCTATGGTTCATATCCGAACTATTAATATGAGATGGACATGAGAGTTAGACAAGAGCCGATAATCTATTGTTCTGCTTTTGTCTCACCAATGATGGCAAATCACGCGGCGGCATAAGGCGGGCGGTGATTTTCTATCGTAAAGCTCATGTCTCCTTCCATCCCTTGTCGGCCCCGTCTCATCTTTCACGCGCTACATTTTACATAATTCGGATAGGATTTCGAGACGACTTCGGGCGCCCAATACATAGAGACAAATTTATTTATTTATTATAAAGACATTTATTAAAAATGTTTTTTAATAAAACCTTTTCTTTCTATTTAAAATAATTATATCTATATTTCATAAATGCTTACAACTCTCATATTATTATAGTAATATTTTATTTTATATATTTTTTAAATAATTAATTAAAAAAATATACATATCAATGCGAATGATATCTTACTTTGATGCATTTGCGTGTTAGTGTTAGACATGAAAAACATAATGTAATACAACATTTAGTGTATCGAATGCTGTGAATAATTTTCTTGTAAAAAAATAAAGTTTCAATAAGATTGCTCACACATATACGGCACAATACAGCATCCAATGCGCTAGATATTGTATTACATTATGTTTTTCATGTTTTTATGATAAATATCATCCTGGCTCATGTCTTGATGAGATCGATAATTCAGATGATTAATTTTATGTAATCATTTTTTATGTAATCATATTTAATTTTGAAAATAATAATAAAAAGATAGATAAACCAGTTTGTGAAACTATAATTCTGTGTATGATGATATACAAAATAACTTTACATTAACAATAAACAGATTCTTTAATCTTTTATTAATATACATATAAAAGAATTACGTTTCACTGTCGTGATTTCGCGGCTATTTGATGCTATGAAACAAATAATGCGCGACGACACGCTGGAAATAATCAATCAGCGAGCTTTAAAAGTGACGTTCGATTTTGCGGTGCTTCATTATCTGTGCATAACAGATCTCTTCTATTGTTTTAAATTTATATTTTTTTTAACGATCTGTAAGATCTGTGTATTTTGCAACACGTGTTATCGTTTCTTTTATAGAACACGACACATTATCTGTAAATAATATTTCTGCGTGTACGTGCGTGTATGCTTTTATCGTGTTGGTTGTGTAATTTTTTTATTTTTTTATAACGTGTTGTATTTCTCTTTTATTTCTACTTTTAAATTTTTTTAATTTTATTTTTATATTTTTTTGTTTTGCATTATAATAAACAATCACTATGTCGAGTCAGTGCCCTGTAGATAGTTATTATGATAAGTGCGTATACAAAGAATGTAAGAATGGGAGATTTTCGCATGAGAAACGGCTATTCCGATTTCCAATGCAGAAGGATACAAGATACAATACATGGATACGCAATACAGGTATGTTTTTGTGCAATAATTGTAATTATTTTATTAATTTTTTTGCCTTTTCTACTCCCAAATTCAATACATATTATTTGTTATTTTATTATTTCATAAAATAAAAATAAAAAAAAACGACAGCAGGGAGATTCGAACTCGGGTCAGCGCCGTGACAAGCAGTCATCTTATTTACACTGCTACGCGCTATTATGAACACTTTATCGAATTGATTATAACCAACACGCCTGACAAAAAAATTTTTTTTTACCAAACATTCGGTATACCAATTGCTATGTCAGCTTGAAATATGCATGTAATCGTAATTTTCATAATGTGTTGTATTTTTGTTACAGAACATACAAAGTTGGAAAACTTGTCTGCCAATACTCTTAGAAAATTAGGATTATGAAGATCATTTCGTTATTACATCATAATGAAGAACGTAAAAGCGCGACGAGAGAAAGGGGAAAGCAAAATCGTAAGCTCGTCGCGTGGCAGTCGCGTGGTCTGTCATTGATGAGACAAAGACAGAACGATGAATTATCGGTTCTTATCCGACTGTCCATCTCTGAATAGTTCGGACATGAACCCATATCATAGACACAAACCATGTTTCGTTACCGAGCGTAATGGACATAGTTCACGTCCACTTTGTCAGACGGCGCGTCAAGCATCGAGAAATGTGCCCGTCGAGGCTGCTGGCCGCTCTCAGGCCGGTATTCATAGTCCGGTCTTAATAAGGCCCGTCTACAATGGCAGTATCAGTAGGTCGTAGCAGTTGTAAGCGAAATGAACCATATTCATTTCCTACGGATTTCGTGAGTTCTACGGCGGTTGCGCATACGCAGTCACGGAAGAATTCTGCGTTTTTAATTCTGATTGCGCGTTCGCCGTAGAACATACATCGTAGCCGTAGGAAATGGATTTAGTTCATTTCGTTTACAACTGCTACGACCTACTGATACTGCCATTGTAGACGGGCCTTTACATTTAAGATTATCTTAAGTTCTCATTCCACCAATCAATGCCTACATTGTAGCTATTTGATTGGTTGAATGAGTTCTTAAGATGATCTTAAATGTAAGACCGGACTATGAATACCGGCCTCAGGTTTCTCTCTGATATAAAAGAGTACTTTATGGCCGGTATTCATAGTCCGATCTTATATTTAAGATCGTCTTAAGTCTGCTTGGAAGTTGATTTAAGACCTCATTCAACCAAATAGCTGCGTAGCATTTCAAGCTCGAACTTAAGACGATCTCAAATATAAGATCGGACTATGAATACCGGCCTATGCTCTGTCCAGTATTTCTTACGTCCATGCTTTGTTTATTGTATTTATTGAAAAAAGATAGAATGACTCTTGTGTCGACTTGTGTCGCTAAATGGAAAGCACCCATAGATGTCTTTGGATTGACCACAGCCAATTATATCGACCTGTGCCTAGGGTAACCAGCAACGATTAACTAATCAGAGAATCCTATTTTGAATTGGCCAATTGGCGACGTGGTCAATAGAATCCCACCTTTTGGAATTTCTTTCTCTGTTACACTAACATGCTATAGTATATTTCTCCTATAGTTTCAGGAGAGAATTCTCTCTAAAGAAAGATTCTCTCTAATTGGAGCATGTAATATGCGACGCGAACTAACCTTTCACTTTCTCTCGAAATTCATTTTATGAATGTATTTATGTGTGTAATTTTCAGATACGACATTATATTTTGTGATAAATAAATTGTGATAATAAATATCTTTATATTTGGAAGAGATGGCTGGTTTACATTTAATAAAAACATATTCTTCCGACTCGGACGAAGATAAGCACGATGACGATGAGAAGCATGATGACAGTAAAATTGTAAACAAGTATATATAACATACTTATTATTATTCTAGATATTTAAATGATTTAAATTTTGCTTAATTCTAGTTTCTAGAAGTCTTGATTTCGTGATTATAGTAAAATATATGATAAAATATAATAAAATAATTCTAAAAAATCTATAAGTCTCACGTTTTAAGTTTGGTGAAATTAGAAGATAATATAGCATCTTATTATTTTAAAACTAAAATTGTTTATGTATATTGACATTATTATATATAATTCTAGAAACTTATGTAATATACATAATAAAATAATTATTATATATGATATATATGATATACCATATAATAATTATTATATATAATAATTGTATATAATAATTATATATTATTATATATAATTCTAAAAAATTATACAGAGACAAAATATATATCTTTCAAATATATCCTATATGTATCCTTCAATATATATTTTAGACAAACTAGACTAGCCTTACCAGCAAGTATTTTGTCATTAAAAGGAGTTACACATGAAGAAGTGATTGATAACCCATCAGATCATGATGGACGGATACGGAGTTTCAAACATGAACGTGGTAACTGGGCAACTTTGGTTTACATAGACTGCAAGTATTTTATTTCCTATATATATATATATAATTTTCAAAATCATTCAGCAATAATTAAATACAGTAACATCTTGATTTATTATAATTAATGTTAATAATATACACACACACACAGATGGTTGGGTAATAACTAGTCGATTAGTTAAAAGTTAAAAAAAAGTTAAAAAGTTAATAATTTTTAACTCAACTTAGTTATTTTAAAAAGAGTTAACTTTTAACTTTAACTAGTTGTTTTTAAAACACAAACTACTTAAACTTATTAACTTTCCACCCAAATTTATTTGATGATTCATATTATTTAGAGTAATCTAATTTTAAAATTACAATCTAATTTAATATAAAATGAAATAATGCTTTTCAAAATTTTAACTTTTATCTTAACTAATGTTAATTTAATCTTAACGTAACTTTTATTGAGTTAATTTTTTATTTGTATAACTTTTAACATAACTAAATTAATTTTTTAACCCATTAACTTTAACTTAATTTAGTTTAAAAAAAATTTAAACTTACCCAACCTCATATATATATACATATATATATATATATATATATATATATATATATATATATATATTGACATTCATATATTGAATTTTTGCATGGATATCCATGTTTTATATATAACAGAACTCGTCTACGATTTTGTGAGCGTCTGCAATTAATTTTTGGAGTTCTGAAGCTCCTTATAAAAGATAGAAAAGATGCGACTATAATAATCTTCGAACTAGTGCGCTCTTTGATAAGCCGTGATTCGAGGGTCTTATACCGTGCGCGGCGTTATATACTGTCTTAATTGGATTCCACTCTCGAGTTAGGTGCTCCCGTTTTCACCACCTAGTGACAAGACACGATGTGGATGTATATAAATATCCAATATATCTTTAGTAGTTGGTGAATATGCAGTTACACGCAAAACAACTGGACTATTAAATTTTAGCATTTTTTTTATAGAAGAAGATCGCAGAAAATTGATTAAAATATGAATTTGTTAGGATATAAATGAGCTTAAAAACTCATACATTTTTGTATCAAGAAACTGATACAACTGAGCAATGCAACTATTTTAAAAAAATTTGTTTCCCATTTCTCAAAGTCTATCTTCAACGCCATTTTGTAAAACATTTTTTGTATGTTAAATTTGTTTTATTTTTTGTTTTTAAGAGAAATGTTCAAGCTTTAATTTGAGCTGTTGTTTCATTTGAATTGTTTCATCTCTGTATGATGATTTCTCACTGATTTATTTCTAATGAAATATGTTAAAAAATTGTGCTAAAATTTAGTGGCCCGTTTTTCTTGCATGTAAATATAGATATGAGAATAATACCGTGTATATCTAGTAGATATCTTTGATAGTTACTTAATGGATAAGGATATGTACATGATATATATATATACATATATAGATCTACTAGTTATCTATAGCAGACATAGATTTTATATAGCCATTTAGATATCTATTAGATCCAATTTTTTCTATGTGGGTATTAAATTTATGTATTTGTTTATCATATTAAGTGTCTTCCTAAGTGCGCTGAAAAAACTGACAGTACTGTTTTCGCATTCCAAAATTGTTTTCAGCGTGCTGCAAGAGAATAACAATTATTACCATTTTAATGAAAATAGATCCTAAGGAGGTGCTAACTTCTGACTGATTCCGCACATATTTTCGAGGTAATACAAATTCAGTAATACATATGGCGACTGGCCGTTTCTAAATTTTTCGTAACGTTTGAAAAAAAAAGCAATGTCATTAATAAATCTATAATTTTATATCATTAATAAATATATCATTTTATACGTCATTACATATTTTTACGTTATTTTTTTATATTAGTTAAAATGGTTAATTTTTCTATTTTAATACCTTTCGCTCCTTTTTGTTGCTATAAAATTTATTACGCGTTATCAAGATATAGCTCTCTCTTCCTCTCCTCTCCCGCGCCTCTCTCGATCCATCTATTTATTCCTTTATCCATGTTATCTACTATACTACAAATGTATTCCGATTATCATTGCTGCCACAGTCTATAGACAATTTCGGAACTGTTGATTGCAGTAGCAGTATTCTGTACTGTCAGTATATTTTTGGCGCATTTCGAAAAACACTCAATGTTACAAGTTCCCACTATTACTCAAACTATTACTTATCTGTTATTGATAGCGAAATAGAATAAGGGATTGGGTGAAAAAAATTATATGTGATACATGATACTAATGAAAGACTAATATATGAATTAAAAACAAAATAATATATAAAAAAATAATACGACGATAACTAATATAACAAAATAATTGTAATAAAAAATGCAATTAATAAATGCAAAATAAAATTTCTTAATAGGAAACTTCTTGAAACTACTTGAAACTTTTTGAACAAAGGGAATGGTTTGTAAAAATGTATTCAAGAATAAGAATGATAATTATGTTACATCCAGACTCTTGAATACATGTGTCATATGGAAGAACGTAACTTATTTACCCCGTGATACATTTTACAAGAACGTGAGTGATTCTGGTCCAACAAACTGTTTGAGCTTATAAGCTTTATTATTTTGCTATAGATTTTACAAGAACTATGTATGATAAGTAAATATCGCTATTTTTAACACAATTTATTTAATAAAAAAATATTTTCTATTTGATATTACCGAAGCAATGATGACTGAAAGTAAAATAAATAAATTAAATATCATGTGAATAATTTTGGATCAAAATTATTGTTCCAACATTCTAAGAATTTTTTTGACTATAGAAAGGATCAATTAATGTTTTAAAGCATATTTCAAAATGTACTTTCTTTGTATACACAATTAGCTCTGCAAATAAGATTTTCTTGTATAATTGAACTATTTCTGATGTGACAATTGCTATTGCACAATGGAACTGTTTTTCTAAATTTAATATGTGTGGATCGAAATTATTCACATATATTATATAATCTATTTATTTTACTTTCAGTCATTTCTTCGATGATATTTAATAAAAAATGTTCTTTCATTAAATAAATTGTTTCAATAAACAAATTGTTTCGAGAATAACTATTTAATAGATATTTAATAAATATCTAGTTATCATGCATAGTTCTAATATGAAAATTATATATAGTCGGTCACGTAAACAAGATAATGAATCTTATGGGAAAAGATGTATGTACTTATAAGAAAAGGAAAATTAGTGAACAGTACAAACATGAGACAAAATGTTTTTTTTCTTTTTTAATCAGTTATTCTTTCTATATTTTTGACTAAATTAAAAGAGAGAGGAAGATTGTAATATTATATAATTTTACATTTTTAGTTCCATCAATTTTATATTAAGTTGAGCTTCATTAATAATTTAATATTTGATTTATAATTAAAAGTTAGATAATAGCTTATTTTTTTTATACATTTTTCCTTATGCATTTTGTTATGTAATACATACTATATATATAGTTCTCTCAAAATAATTATATAAAAATGATCGATTTCCTTAATATATCCGATTTGATCCTTAATGTGTGTGTGTGTGTGTGAAATACATAATTTCCCCTTATGTTATAATGGTTCGGGAATCATCATTCAGGATGACGACAACCTAGATCTTATAATTTAATCCTAACTGGTATTTGCAACATAATCTATTTTTTAATTTATTTTCTATAATCTATTTTTTTTAAATAAATAAAATTATAATAAAAATAAAAATATTAAAAGATCCAGCGGAGATATTATGTCCCATACAGCACAGAAGCTTGCATCAACATTGCTGCAATGTTACAAAATTGCTCACTGCAGTAATGTTGCAAAAATAATGTGGAGACATTATTTTATAATACTTTGGAAATGTTGTAGCAACATTTTAACATAGTGAAGATGTATAACATGTGTTTCTTTACTTGCCGCTACGCGGCGACACCAAATTTAACTAATTCGTATTCCAATTCATTTAAAGTGGATTCAAAGGTCTACTATAAAGGACAAAGGACTAATATAATAATTATATTTTTTGAAACTCTCATTGGGTTTCAGAATAGATAGATCGATTTTATATTTGATACTGTTTACCATACAGTAACAATTTCCAAAAATAAAAAAATTATCTCTAAAAATAATTGACAAAAATATTCTCTCAAAAATTAATTTGTAAAAAGGATATAAAATTTTACAAAAAGTTGTGATATCCTTCTAAAAAGAACTTTACAATGGTTAAAAAAATATGCCAAGTACATAAAAAATATTCCACCTTGTATTTCCTGTCATTTGATTACATCGATCATTTACGACATAACAGAGATTCAATAACATATATTAAATAAAAAGAGAATAATGAAATATAGTATAAATAATATGTGCAATAGAAATACATAGCGATTTGATCTGATATCATTATAAAATTCCGTGCAATAAAATGCTAAAGTTTTTTTTATCATGTATAATTTTTTATCATGTATTAATTTTCATGTATTTTTTATATGTACGACTCGGAATAGTCAACACTCGGTCTAATTGCTATCATTATTATACGGTCTTGTTAAGTAGTTATTAAACGATTATTATATATAAAAATATATATATATATATATATATATATATATAAAATATATGATAAAAAATTATACATGGTATAAAAAAAGTTTAGCATTTTATTGCACGGAATTTTGTAATGATATCAGATCAAATCGCTATTTCTTCGTGCAATTATAACTTATTTATATTATTTCTTATAAAAGTGTGTATTTTATAAGAAATTGCTTTATTAATTTCCTTTGCTTTATTAATATATTTCTATTGCACATATTATTTATACTATATTTCATTATTCTCTTTTTAATTAATATATATTTTATTGAATCTCTGTTACGTAAATGACCGATCAAATGGTAGGAAATAGTAAAGTTGAAAATCTCGCGCGTATGTGTGACAGAAATAGTTTGATTTTTACACACGTAAAATATTGTTATTTAAATTTTATGCAAACAGATAAAATTGGATAATACTACTGAGAATCATATA